GGCAAACCGCTTGCTGCCATGGCGTTGCGGCTCTCTATGTTTCGAGCAGCTCCCCTGAATTTCAATGGCTCTAGACTAGGCTCAAGATGGACATTTTTGGTTGCTCCCAACGGAGGAACACCGGGGATGCATCAAAACTTGCTACTGTACTGTATACCATATTATATTTGAGGGGATAAACACCCCAAAACTAGCTATATTGGCGTTCACCAGGGTTTCCAGGGTTTTGACACATAGCCATACATAGCCATATTATCCCGAGCTAAACATTATCATCTGGTCCGATTTTTTCGCACACTATCCAAGATCAGCCTGGAGGGTATATTGACTGCACCGGAAGCAACCAAAAGCCATTCCCCTAAAATGAAACACCCCATATGGGCAGCCAAAATGAACAGATCCAATACACAACAACAAGTGGTTTCAGGGGGGAATGGGATATTATTTATATATATATATTAATGTTATTACATATATATATATATACACAATATTTATATGATCATTATATATATATATATATATACATAGACATGGTTAATGAAGCGAGAATCGGGTCAGGTGCTGATCAGGTGCTGTTCCAGCTGTCGGTATGTCTCAAGTGGGCCCCTAGGACTAGGTTTTTGCGCAACTGGCTTTGATTCAGATATTCAGATATATTATATAATAATATATGATATATTTGATGTTTATCTATCACCAATTTTTAAGTCAAAGATTTCGAACTCTGGTGAATTAAATTTTTGGTGTGTGCTTCAGCTCCCATTTTTCTCACATTTTTCTTGGCCCAGGCCATGGCCAAAGCTGCCCCAAAGCCGAAGACCGGGGCAACCCGGTGGAAGCCTCAGTGCCGGAGAGTGCCACCATTGTAGAGGTACTGTCATGGGAATATATGAACCATTGGAAAATTATGGAACAAAGTGATTTCACCTGCAAAAATGGGAGGCAGTTGACCACCCCCTGTACTACTACAGCTGAATATACATTTTCCAAGCGCCCCAACAGCCTAATCTTAACCATTTATCACCAAACTAATATTAGAGTGGATCCTTTTGCGCGTCCCCGAAGTCATGTGGATCAAGTAGCAAAGCGAGTGCACTTGGCCCGGGGGCCACATGCAAGTTCAGTTTGGAAGGATTTTGGACATGTTCGGAGAGCCTGGAATAGAGACCAAACTGTGAAATTTACACAAGAAGATCACACATGATCATAAAGAATCATACAGATCATTTTGTTTACTTGGTTTACTAGTTCAGGCAGGGGTTCTTCATTGCCAGCCAACATCCTGTAATTAGGTGACCCACCGCATTCCATCGCCCTTGCCAGGTCGCCAATAGCTGAGTTGCACCGCAGTGTGAAACGCCGTGTTTCTGAAAAAGATGCGCAATCTCCAATGCCATGTCAAGATTTGCTAATAACTTGTTCCTTCGACAAACGCGAAATGTATATTGGGGGAAGGCAAAATGGTGGCTTAGTACATGGTTATATTGGGATTTAATATGAGATTTTTGAGCTGATCGATGATAGCTGAACCATATAGATGCCCTCTTTCATCCTTTTTCCAGTGGTTGGTTGGTTGGTACACAATTGTAACCCCCCAAAAAAAAATAGAACATGATAGAACAGTAATGAACAGTCCTTATTTCAGCATCGAAATCTCGGTCGGAGTTGAGGCCTACGAAGGCGCGAGCTTGCGGACCTGGCTGTGGAATTTAGGTATACCCCGCTGTGATTGCTATATTGAAAATGATAGTGGGTTTTAAAAAAATAGTTTTATTTGACTATAGACTATAATTATGATAATGAAAAATAGTTTTGCAAACTATGGGCTAATTAAAACTATTTTTGGACAAAGCCACATCCTCAATTTAAGGTGGAACCACCATTTATGATGTTTAGAAGATCATCTTTCGAATTCGATGATGTTCACTTTGAGGTTATGAGATTTAGCAGATCCGAAGCTCAATTGACTGGGCGAGGTCCTAAGGTGGAAGAAGAACTTCTGCAAAATTGGTGAAATTCACCAATGTAGAACCAAGGACAGAAATCATGCCAGGGAATTTTCGCAATCCAAACTCCCCATGCCATGGTGCCACAGATTGGCCGAGTCGGGTGATGTCTCTGAAGGTCCCAACAAATGCGCTGGTCCCCAAGTCTGGTTGGTTGCAAATGTTTATGGTCCATCATTCCTCGAGTAACGATCCCCATTATGACTTTCTTTCAGAGGGATGTGTGGCTCAGTTACCAGTGCTTGTATTGTTCAGTGGGGTACACTGGTGATTCAACTTGGTTTGAGCAGCGTCAAAAACCTCCAAGTAAGAAAGTTATATGGGGATGAAACTAAGTTGGGCCGCAGAAGTGAAACCCACGTCTGCGGAAGCGTGCGGAAGCGCTTGCGGAAGCAGACGCTGATCGTCCGATCGCGGAAGGGCCTCGGAAGACGATCTCATGACGAGTTTGTTTTCGCGGAAGCTCCGCGGAAGCAGAATCAACTTACCAATCATCCGCGGAAGCTGAAACTGTCGTCGCGGAAGACAAGTAGGATTAGAAGAATTAATGACATCACCCCGGTGCCACTGGCTCAGTGGATTGGAAGAACCATGGTATAGAAACCCCTGGGTCATCAATCGCTGGGAAATCCCCGAGCTAAATGGAGGTTTTGACTGGCAAAATCATCGAACCAAACGGAGGATTTAATCCATTCCCATGTCCGAAAAAACCGGATCCGGAGAGTGCATAAATGCAGTATGTACCCGAAAAAACCAAGCGGCAAGAAAAACCGACACATCATGGGTTTGTCTCAAAATGCGGAAAAAGGGACCATCCCCAATTTCGGATGGCTGACAAATTATATTCCCCTTAATATCCCATGATACGATTTCAGTGGTCGGTTTTCACGACATAATTCATTGGTATTTGATCCATGATTGGCCCAAAACATGGCCGGTATACCGCCCAGCCTCCCAGTTGTGGCCAACGGGGATTATGATGATCAACCGAAGTGGTTAACCCGCCGTTTAACCCGCCCCCATATTCTGGAACTGTTTGTTGGACTGAAAACAATACAAGATGCTAAACAGAAAGTAAACTATCCAGATTCAGCAATAACAACTATAGCCAAAAACGATCTAAAAGCATTCTCAGATAATATACCCTGTAATCAAACATAGTATAATTGGAAATCCCCCATTGATCATCTTACTAGCTATAAAACTCTATTTCGGTCGTGGATTTTCCAGGCCAGCACAGCCCCGGCAGTCCAGCCACCCCCACCAGCAGCTGTACCTGGGCCATCGTATGACCAGACGCAGGTGGGGATCGCCTATGTGTACAACTGAGTGTGGAAATCATGGGGGTATCATGCAAGGTGGTGCCATAAATCTGGGTAAATTTCATCACGACCTCACGTCGCGACCGAGCCCTGGAATCATTCATGGTTTATGTTAGGGGAATCATCCCCAAATGGCCGCACTATTCAGGTTAGTGAAATATTATAATTTACCCAGATAAATGGGTTATAATTCCATTAACTATAGATATATCACTGTATCCCCTAAACTATATAAAAATTGGACTTCTAAACCAACTTAGCAAACTATGGGGCACCACCTTGTGGGGATTATTAGGTACTTGGGATTTTAAATTTTAGATGATTTTAAGCTCGCTATGTTTTTGATTTGGGGTTTCAATGCGGATTTAAGCACCGTAAAGCCCTTTTTAGTGGGGATTTAAATGGATTTAAGCATCACAAAGACAGAAGCACTCCTTTTAGACCATGGTCTCCCCTAAAAAACATCATATAAATTCAATCCATGGCTTTTTTTGTGGGGGAAAATGTGGAGGGTGATGATTATGACAGCTTCAATATAGCTATGAACAATTGATGAATTACTTTCCTATTAAACAGGTTTGTTGTTCATAGCAGTGTTGAATTTTCAGAGGGTATTCGAAAACCAACAACCTGGGTTTGCTCAAGATGTTCTTTGATGACGCGTTGTTTTCCCTATTGAAAATCCACCATTTAGTTAGTCTGTAGGTTTTTTTTGGGGGGTGGGGGCTTCTCAAGCTAAGTCAAAACATGAAGATGATGTGGTTTATTTCAAGTGATATTCCAAGAGAAGTTGCGAATGGCCCATGTTTTAAAACTGGTTAGTTGCGAAAACCGCTTTGAGGCCTCCATTTTGTTAACGCTGGGAAGGCTGGCTAGGAAACTCCTATCACCATGGATGGCTGGTGGAATCTCCCGATTGCCCAACAGAGGTTTGAAACGTCGCAGCAATAGAATTTATATATAGAACTGATATAATGTAGGCTGCCTAATAGTAACCCCCCCCTAAATTGTTGATTTGTTTTTTTTAGGGGCGGGGGGGTCAGCATTCCAATAGTAAATTCCTGGAACCCAATAGTAAGCTCTTCTTGGAATCTGTCTCGATACTATACCATGCCCTCTGGACAAGGTCAGAACATGAGTTTTTTGGCAATACTACAAGTAAATTAGGCTAATTGACTTTTTGTATTGGAGAAAAAACTGGAGTTGGGAAAAAAGTTTCTACTATTGACAAGGTATCATTATTGGCTAGACAACATTAGAATCAATACGGGATTGATATAGAATTGATAATGTACCATCAATACTAATTCAAACTAATAACATCTATGATCTACAACAATACCTAAATGATCCAAAATGACGAGTTCTGCACACAGCTGCGAGGCCGGTTCCGGAACTTCGGGTGGTGGCATCATGTGCGCTGCTTGTGACTCTGAAACTTTGCTGTTCGCGCCAGGGCACATGCGGAAATCCGCTGATCCATTGAGAACTTGTCTAGTCTATACATGTCTATACAATTACCCTCTGATTATTTAACATAGCCCATAGCCATTTGAACGTGGCCCATTTATAGATGATTTTCCTATATAGGAAAACCATATATATATATATACATATGAATATAATATATATATATATTGAAATCACCATTTAGTTCGGGAGTTTTCCATAGCTACGTTAAATAAGCAGAGGCTAATCCTCATTCCCCGGGGGTTGACCCATCACTGCAGGTACCAAATCCTGCTTGGCATGGGCAGCATGTTCGGCGTCCAGCCCCCAGGGATGGCGATTGCGCCCTGTTGTTTCTTGATTGGTTCGGAGGTTATACATCATCAATTGTGATTAATCATGAACCCAACAGGGATTCATAGTGATTGATGGGGACAGTGATTATAATCAATAGTAATTCTCCTGGAATTGCTAAGTCCATTGTTTGGCTTATTTTCTCACTGGGAAATCCACTATTTTTGGAGGTTCCTTTTGAGCAAATCCAAGTAACCAAACATAGTGAGGATGATCAATGAGTTAACGGGACGACCTTGCGAGCTTTTAACATTGATCATATATTGCAAGTGGCTGCGAAGCAAATTGAACAAGTGTATAGCAACCTCCAAGAAGATAGAACATTAAGTTATCAGGATTTTACATATAACTAAAGTTTCCATATTAAGTTATAGAACCTCCACTAACGATTTTTTTTTGGGGGTCGCTATATTTGGAAACCCATCCGCAATGGATCTAGTCCCCGAAATTTCCGGCCGTCCATCGAAATGCGTTTCTCAGGTCATTCTGGCAATCAATCTCGTTTTGTCACCCAGATGCTGTGGGAGTCGCGCCATTGTTTTAATAGTGATTTTCAATATGGAGGTTTCCTGAAATAGGAGTACCCCAAAATCATCCAAAATCATCCATTTTTTGTGGGTTTTTCCTTTATTTTTGGGGGTACCCCCATTTATGGAACCCCCATATCATTAAATGTAATTGTCCATCCTGGGGAGGATAGCCAGATATCTTCTTTGGGATAGGTTAAACAACACACAAACCACTGACATGTCTGGACTTGCTGCGCCTTTCTTTAGTCACTGTGATGGGATGAGGGGAATCGAACAGCAGTCTGAATGCACACAGTGTACAAACATGGCACACACTGATGCTCCCTTACTTGTATGTCAATGTACTTGCATGTGGTAAACCCATGTAAACCCAATAAACCATCCCCAGTAGATGTTTGTTATTGGATATCGGTATAGCCCATAGCCATAGCCAGCCCTCTCGCCCCAAATGGTTGCTGGCTATCCGCTGGAGGTCTCGCGAGTTCTGGGCCCTCGGCGCATCACGGTGATACACAAGGATGGGATGAACATTCACCGTTTTACCATCGTTTTTTTCGGTAACCGTTGAACCATCGAAAACGTGGATTTTACCATGTTTTACATGGTTTTACCAGAAAAAAAACAAACGATTTACCCATCATCAATGGGGATTTAACCATCAACACCCGGGGGTTAACCACCAAAGATGGAGATGTGATGGGATACAATTTGGAATCCAAAAGAATTTCTGTACCCAAACAGCTTAATCCTATTCTCTTGACATTTTTTTGAGATGTTCTCAGGAGACACAGCAGCAAAATTGTGCTTGACATATACAGCAGTATACAGTCTACATGTCATATGCATGCACCTTGTGTCATGATAGCTAGTGTGTGAAAGAGAGACAGAGAGAATGTCAGTGCTCGTTTTGCCCTTCATTACTTCCTCCAGGTTCAAACATGTGTTTGTGTCCAAATCCTTTACAAAGGGTCTGAATGTTTGATGCGCTTCACATGATTCAATTAGCATGGTTTCCAAGAAAATGCTAAGGTTTTAGGAATAGTCAAATTCGCATTAGTTTGGTTTCAATATCTTCCAATCCTTGGTTTTCGAAAAAAAACTGTCATTGCCGCAAGCGCGCTGCTTCCAGGACAGTGAAGGGAGGCCGCAAAGGGCACTAATCAAACATTGCAATTGAACATCCTTGATAACAAATTGTGTTTTAATATATTTTAATGGGAACACCCTTTATAAATGGAGGATCTTCCATTGCAACGATCACCCGAGGGTATACCAAATCGACTCCGATCAGCATTTTCTGAAAGGTCTTTCTGAGCTGTTTTTGCATGGAAAGACTATTTATTTGGACATTTGTCACACGAAGTTTGTGAATCAGCGACGTGGGAGGCCGCTTTGAAGAAGCCAATGACATCCAATCCATGTGGGGAAGATGCCCGCTCAGATTCGGTCCGCGGTTTTTAGGTGCGACCAGACCCGCCCTTGAATGGTTGCTTGGGGGCCATGTTTCGCAACTTACAAGCTTGGGTGCAATTTAATATACAATTTTAGACATTATATACATCACGTTATGTGTTGTTTGCCGACTGGTTGCCTCAGAAAACCTCAAAGTTCAGCGGCTTAGTTCTTTTCACCATGTGCAAAGGCACAGGGCACAGAGCACAGGCGGGAACAGCGTTTGGCCGCAGCAAAACATGGGCCTCACAGTGCCAGGCTTCTCCCAGGGCCCAGGGTCTGGCAGAGTTACCGTAACGCTTCTTTGCAGCTTTCAGCTAACATTTTGACACACGGATCATGGGAGAGGTTGAATGTCAGTTTCACGCAGGCTGTTCCCTCAATTACTGATCCTAAAGTTTCTCACTTATACATTTCAAGATGAGAATGTTCATTACGACGTTTGTTCACCAGAGGGTATTTGTCAGATTGCTTTTGTCTCAGATTTTGCCCATGCAGACCTGCAGCAGCATCCTGTATCAACACAGTACTTGGAAAAGAGAGCAATAAGCGGCCCTTGGACCCCCTTGGAGGGCAACCAGGCGTGCACATGGACTCTGGAAGAGCTCCAGATCACCGTCATCACCTTAGACGTTGGGCGGTTCTGGGTCCCTAGAAAGTTTTTGCATGCGCATCTCAGAAATGTTATGGGTCAGGACATCAGCAAGCCAAAAGTGTACTGCAAGATATTGTAAGATTGTAAGCCATTGTAAACCTGAGGTCGTCTTTCGCAGGCGGGTGTCCAAAGTGACACAGCAGACGCATGCTCCAGGCGCGCTTGCTCAAGAGAACCATGACCATCCGAGTTACCCTCTGGTAAATTAACATAACTATGGAAAATCACCATTTTTCATGGCTAAATCCACTATTTCTATGGCCATTTTCAATAGCTATGTCAGCCATTACCAGAGGGTAAAACAAGTGGCAGCCATGGTCAGAAATTTCGAGACCATGGATTCCCATGGGATTCCCATGGATTCCTCCAAGGCCAACAAGGGCAACGTCATCTCCAGGTTTCACAAGACATCCCTGGAGATTCGAAATTTGGTGGGATCCCTCAGCGAACTCATCTCCGGGTCCTTCGGAGATGATGGTGGATCTGTTGCCAAATCTGCCACTGTTTGTCAGAAAATGATGGGAAAGAAAAACAAGAAATCCTCTGGTTGATCCCCATTTCCAAATGTTCTTCTATTCAAATATATTCAAATGGAAATTGTATGAAATTGCTCCCCAGAATTTTTAGATAAATCCTAGCTGTGGTCGATCTCGTCATAATCCCAGTATTGTGGACTAGGTCCAGGAATTGGGGGCTGGTGGATTTCAGAATTTCAGTAGAAGTTACAGCTCCATGGCAGGTAGAGAGGACTGCAATGCAACATGGGCCCCAGTTGGGTCATATCAGTCATATCCAAGACCATCTTCGTGACACATCGCCGTAGGATTGTTCAGCATTTATGTTAAATTTCGTGGGTGTCCGGCGTACAGTTCCGGTGCATGAACCCCCAAGAGATCAAGAGGTGGTGAAAATTCACCCCGTTAGCCATACTCAGATATGTTTGCCATAACCCCTGTGAGTGATTAACCAGCTTAGCTAGCTATGGGGCACCACATTGTTCTATGATGTTATATAATGTTATGTAAATTTATGTATATATATGTTATGTAAATCTCCCGCAATACTATTCATCAATCATCCATTCTGATCATCATCTTCGTATTCCCATAAATGCCGATTTATAACAGGAGAATATGGAAAATCAGCAGAATCATCTATAGTATAAATCCCCCAAATACAGCAGAGTTCCCATAATCACATAGTATAAAGTATAAATCCCAAATAAAACTAAACAAATCCCAAGATTCGATAATTATATGTTATTCTATAATTAGTTATATTCCCAATTATTCCCATAGAATTCCAATATACGTATGTATATATAATATAATATAATATAATATAATATATAATATAATATAATATATAATATAATATAATATAATATAATATATATACTGTTTGGTGGTTTGGAACATGTTTTATGACTTTCCATATATTGGGAATAATCATCATCCCATCTGACGAAGTCATATTTTTCAGAGGGCTAGGTCAACCACCAAGCAGTATGATTAGCTTGCGTTTTTTGTGCAAGTGGAAACGTGAAAGCCCCATGTTTGTGACATTTTATCCTCAAGAGCTACAGTCTAGGGTTCCAGGCGCCTATGGATGCTGGTGGTCTGAATTGGGGACTCCTTGTAGGGTCACATCTCATTCGATCCTGGGCTGGCTGGTCACACTATTCATCTCTTGAGGCAGAGATCTCATCCTTGCGTGTGGAGGTGTTTAGGGCTCGTGAGCTTGTGACTGGATTCAATCAAGTCCTTGAAGCGTGTGAGAAATCCAATTTCTGGTTGCGTACAGCGAATCAAGGGGCCATCATCCTTCTTTTTGTCATTTTTGTTTCTGTGGTGTGTTGGGTGGCTGCTTTACGTGTGTTCAAAACCAGTGAGCATCTGGTGAAACCCGAGATCCATCGTGCTTTGCCTGCAGTGCCAGAGGTTGTTGCCCCGCCAGTTGTGAAAGCTGGCCCTTGCCGACCATCTGACCGGCTTCGAATCAAAGAAGAAAGGGCTTAGACATGGACCGGTCACTCAATATACCGGAACCACAAATCCTGCTCCATTTCCCGGAAGATGCTGGGGGTTATTTTCACCATCATAGAATATTGATGCATCGAGTTTCTGGAAGTCAATGGGTTCTTTTAACTCCTGATCTGGAACTTGAAGTTGCAGACCTCAGTGCTCGTCGACACCGCATTTTGCCACGACATGGTGTTTTTCCTGCAGACATAGCTGATGAGTGCTATGTCTTTGATGAAGTGCCTAGGGCTGAGATGGAGCGCCAGAGAAGAATGGCGAAGACCATGGGATCAATTCTTGGCGATGCTCAAGTTGTCAATGTTGACATCCAGCAATGGTATGTGTCTGATCCCTCCTCAGCTCGGTTTGGGCAGGCTCTTCCTGTCGAAATCGTCGGAGACGTTGTGGCACTGGGTCAGCATGGTGTTGTGCAGTGGGATGATGAAACCGAGTATGTGCGAGAGATGGCGACTTCTGAGATCGAAAGATTCAAGGAGTCCAAGAAGGATTCATTGGGGGATGCTAGGCTGCTGGGAGAACACAAGGACCCTCAAGGCAAACGACATATGACGCTTCAAGATGCACTTGCACTTATGTCTGAAGAGAAGTTCGATGACTGGGGCTTTGTCGGCCCGCGTGCAACGAGAGAGTATCTGGTTGCGATCCGTGAGGGTCCTGGTGATTTGATCTCATATCACAATGGGTGGGTTCGCTCATCGGGGATCTCCAACAGTTCTGCAATTGCTCATGAACATCGGTCATTGATTGAGACCTTGCGACTTGGCTTCTCCAAAGACCAGCTCGACCTGAGCAACCTCACATGCATGGAGAACGTTGTGAGACGTTTGATTGTGCTTGAAATGGCAGTGGCGAGAAACCCAGCAGCCCCAGACTTCTCTGGTCTGGATGTTGTCAGTGAGACTCCAATTGCTGCACAAGGCCAAGCCTACGTCTCAGCCATCACCAGCTGGGTGACTGAGAAGCTGAAGGAAAGGTCGCAGATCCAGAAGCAGGCACGGCTCTTCAAGGAGGAGTTTGGAAGAAGAGGTGGCAAGAAGTTTGGCGATGAGGATGACGAAGACAGTGGCAAGAACAAGTGGAAAAAGAAGAAAAAGGCGGCGGGGCGGTTGGCTCCGCTGCGGCCTCTTAGTTCCACTTGGCTTTTGTGGAGCTGGTCCAGTACCTCCTTGGTCCCGCTCCTTGCTCAGTTTTTCTGGAGGTGTCCAATGAGGTTGGTCATCAGAGGCGGCGGCATGGGGATCCTTTTCCCTTGGACAGTGGGGCATTGCGTGATCTGGCCGCTGAATCTGGGTGTTTTGAACCGCAGCGAGCTCAATGGATTGGAGATTCTCTGAACAAGCTTGCTTTGCATACCAGTAATTCATTCAATTTTCCACATTTTGCCACAGAACGGCCGCCCACTGCAGTTCAGGATTTTGTGATGGGTAGAGTTGTGGAGTCACTGAAGCTTCATGGTGACAAGCCGCTGAACATGACTCCTGAGACTGCCCTCCATGAGCTGCAGGCTGCCGAATTCTCCTACGATGGAATGCCGAACAATCTTGCGTCCTATGATCCTGGGAAGTTGAAAGTGCTTCGATCTCAGGTTCAGCCGAAGAGGATTTCCAAGTTTTTGCCTGTGGAGCCTGCAAAGTTGGTTGAACATTATGAGTCACAGATGTTGCTGCCTAATCATGCGGATGATTCTGGTTTCTCACCTTACTGGGATCCTGCATTAAAGTATGACCGTTCAAGGAGGCTGGACTTCATTTTGCGACTACATAAGTCGGGCTTGGTTAAACTTAGACGTTCTTCTAAGTCATTCATTGGAGCTTTCTTTGTGAAGAAGAAGACACCTGATGCTATCAGAATGGTTTTGGATTGCAGAGGGACCAATAAACTCCACCAACCGCCGCCGACAACCCGCTTGGGGTCTGCAAGATGCTATGCGGATCTGGACTTGGCAGAAGTTGAGGAAGGCAATGGGTGGGGGATTGAGGCAGACGTCAATGATGCTTTTTACAACTTTTCTATCCCTGAACTCACCCACTACTTTGCCTTCAATCACCCGCTGGAAGCTCACATGTGGTCAGATTTGGGGGTTGATGCCGCCTCAGTTTATGATCCAGCGACCAGGCAGTATGTGCAGACGGATGCGCATGAGTTGTTGTTCCCATGTGTGGAAGCGGTTCCTATGGGTTGGTCGTGGGCCCTTTTTCTCTGCAATGAAGCTGTTTTGAACATCTGCCGACAGCATTCTCCGTGGATGGATGGTGTTTTTAGGGAACGAAAAGAGACTCCACAGCTTGATCAATTTCGTACGTCGCTTGGGGTTTATGTTGACAATATTACCATAGTTGGCAGGGAAAAGTCGGATGTTTGTTTGCGGGCCAGTTGGGTCCGGGAAGCTTTTGAGCGTGCCGGCATCCCACTGACATGGTCACAAGACTCCCCAGTTCAGTCTCTGGAATCTGTTGGTTGTAACTTGGACTTTGTGCACAAGCGTGTTAGCAACAAGCCTCGTCGTGTTTGGAAATTTTTCCTTGCAACTCTGGCCTTGCTCAGACGTAAAAAGCTGAAGGGAAAGGTCTTGCAGATTTGGGCGGGGCATTTTACCTCGCTCTGCTCCCTTTACCCATGTGCTCTTGCGTGTCTGGAGCATATCTATAGGTTCATTGAAGTCAGCCGTGAGAAGCGCATTCAAGTTTGGAGTTCAGTGCGGTGTGAGTTAAAACTGGCTTGTGCTCTGGTGTGGTTGGCATGGCGGGACTTAGGTGCCCCATTATGTCAGACAGTTGAGGTAGGTGACTCTTCTTCATCTGGATATGCATTGATGAGCTGTCGACCGGGTCAGGATAGACTTAGACGGGCTAATGGCCTCGCAGGAAAAATGGCGCTTCATTCCAATGCCTGAGAACCTTCGGAGCGCAGCTGCCAGAAAAGATGCTGAGGAGTTTGAGCAGATCCTGTTTGGAATGTTCACTGCAGCCGATTCTGGTGGAGGCCCTGGTTCTGTACGGCCTGCGGGTCTTTCCACGGGTTATGGGCATATGGTTATGGATGCTATGAGAGAAGGGTCATGGCTGGGAACGTCTGCAATCCGCTCGCAGTTTCGGGCGGCTCCTTCTAAGCGCATTGATGTTGACATCCCCTCACTGGTTGAACCTCTGGACAATTTTTTGCTGACACAAACAATTTTCGCCTTCTTTGGGCGAGGCGCTGGAAGAATGTTGATGAGCATATCAACATCAAGGAGTGTCGTGTTGCTTTGTCCTCATTGAGACGTAGCTGTCGAGTTCGAGACTTGATGTCCCACCGAAAGCTGACAGTTTCTGACAACATGGCAACAGTTTCAGCGCTTAGCAAAGGGAGGAGCTCTTCCTTTAAGATGAATAAGTTGTGCAAAGTCGCAGCAGCTTTTCAGCTTGGGTGTGGCATGCTCTGGCATCTGAGACATGTGGAAACCAAGCGCAACGTGGCTGATGAGCCATCTCGCAACTTCGAAAGAGGGGCCCGTAACCGTGAACAGAAACCTTCAATGATAGTGCCAGATCCCTGCAGTGGGCTTCTTTCAGAGCCTAGCCAGTCGAGCAAGCAGGTGACTTTTGGTGATGCGGCGAAGGGGGCTGTACCCCGTGGTAAGGGCAATTTTTTCCTGGAGTTGTTTGCAGGTACAGGTAGGCTTTCAGGAGCCATTCGAGACTTGGGTGGTGCAGTGCTTGAACCGGTCGAGATCACGAAGGATTCAGCATTCGACCTTCGTAGGAAAGAAACTCAGAGACTCATTTTGAGGTGGATCAAAAGTGGGACGATTGGTTTTGTTCATTTGGGCACACCATGCACTATCTGGTCAAGGGCTCGTCACGGGGTCAAGAATACTATTAGGAACTTGGTAAGAGAGGCAGTTGGTGTTGAGCTTGCGTTGTTTTCATGTGAAGTTATTCTTGCGTGCAATCGAGCAGGTGTTCACTGGGCCATTGAAAATCCTAGGTCTTCTCGTCTTTTCACGTTTGAACCGCTGGTCAGAGCCATGCAGTCGGGTCCATGCTATGAGATCAATTTTGACATGTGCAGCTATGGTGAAGTTTACAAAAAAGAGACAAGCATTTTTTCTTCCCTTGGCAAGTTGCAAAAGTTGGAGCGTCATTGTGGACATCGACGGCATAGTGTCTGGCTCAAAGGTGTTACTAAGGTTGAGTTCCCTGGTGGTAAGCATGTGTTCACGAATAGGACATCGTTGGCAGGAGCATACCCACAACAGTTGTGTGAACAGTATGCAGCAATTCTTCATGATGCCAATATTTGCGTGAGCCATGGGGAAACTGACCAACTCGTCCAAGACCATTGGTCAGCTTCGATCAGGTGTTATACGCCGAAACGTAGCAAAGGCAACAATTCCGGCAAAAAGTGCCCTGTCTCGAACAGGGATCATTGCCAGAAAGAAGTCGACCTTGAGCTCCTTGAACACCAAGGGGGGCTCGAGCAGTTTTTCGACTTCATTGCCCTTGGAAGAGAACCGAAGCAAGCGTGGCGGTACCTCCAAAAAGCCAAGCCGGTGCTCTATCAGCAAATCTGACAAGTACCGAATTATTTTGGAGAGATGCCCCGCTGAGCGAGCCTTGCGAGTCAAACGAGTCAGGCCTGACACCATTGTGAGGTATGCTGACAGTGTGGATGATTTTTTGCAATGGGCGCAGAGCAAGAGGCTTCAAGTCAAGTCAGACAGACAGGCTGACAAAGCTATGGCCAGATACTTTGATCAAGTGTTTGAGGATGGCTGCCCCTTAACCGTTGCTTCATACACATTGTTTGGTTACATAGTGTTGCGAACTATTCCTGACAGAGCGGAGCGTGACATGTTTCCGCTTAGTCGTGCGGCTCTTGCGGCATGGCGTGGTAGCCGTGCTGGTGGGTCCAGGGTTGGAATGGTGCCTCAGGTGATTTTTCACTTTGCAGCATTTTGTATTCACAACAAAGCAACCGATGCAGCAGCAGCAGTTTTATTGCAGTATGATCTGTACACACGTCCATCTGAAATTCTGAACCTCAGGGGTCGGGATATTATCCCATCAGTGCATGCGTTCAACTCTCCTTGGGGCATTCTTTTAGGAAACTCTGAGTTTGAGGAACAGACCAAAACTGGCGCAACAGATGATGTGATTCTGTGTGACAGCTCGCACCGACAGTGGGCCAACAAGCTGCTGAGATGCATTGGAAAGCGTGTTGGACAATCTGACTCTCCAATTTTCAATATCTCTCTTTCACAGTATGAAAAGCTGTTTCGTGATTTCTCAAAACTGGAAGGTCTGAAAGGTGGGCTATTTACGCCTCATGTCATTCGGCATTCTGGACCATCATATGACCTCATCAATGAGTATCGAACATTTGAGTCTATTCAAGCTCGCGGTAGATGGGCAGCGCCATCTTCAGTTGCTCGATACCGCAAGCCTGGTAGACTCTTGATGACAGCAGCAAGACTTCCTGCAAAATTTCAGCGATATACCGAACAGCCACTCCAATGGGCTCTGGAACGATTACTTATTTTTCCATGGGCCTAGGCCAGTGCCCTTTGCAATTGGGGGTATGGGTCAGTTCTTTGGATGCGTGGAAGTGATTGTGAATAGCGATCGCTTTGGAATGTTCGTTGATGATTTGCAACGCCTGTGAGTGGACAAAGGTGCTGTCTCATTCTGGGCTGGGAAGTGGAAACGGCCAGCAATGATTAGCTTGCGTTTTTTGTGCAAGTGGAAACGTGAAAGCCCCATGTTTGTGACATTTTATCCTCAAGAGCTACCCTCCACACCCACCTCTCTCTTGAGGGGTGGGTCAGTTCTTTGGATGCGTGGAAGTGATTGTGAATAGCGATCGCTTTGGAATGTTCGTTGCTGTCTCATTCTGGGCTGGGAAGTGGAAACGGCCAGCAATATATATATATATATACACTGGATATTGATATTACCATCAAAATCATTAATTTGGATGTGCATTCCAACTGGTTGGTGGTTTGGAACATTTTTTGTTTTTCCATATATTGGGAATAATCATCCCAACTGACTAATATTTTTAAGAGGGGTTGAAACCACCAACCAGCCAAAACTCATAAGTGCTTAATCAGGTCTCATGACCCATGTGAAACCACACACCAAAACATCGAGAAAACAAAAACCATCCAGGAATCATCCCGCAGCTTGGGACATAGATGTCCCAAATTCCCATTGGTTGATGAAAAAAGAGGGGTAAATGATTTACCCCTGTAAAACAACAGGTTTCTATGATGATAGATGGTATACCAGTCACCGGCCCCTCTTATGTTTTTCCCAAAAGGACATTATTGGCTTGGGATTTCAAGGAGTTGACATACTATCTGACGGTCTTCAATCGACTGCTTGGGAGCTCGGAGAGAACCACCCGGGTGTTTTGTTTTCAGGCTACCATCAGTGGATGGAGATTGTACGTAGCTGATATCAAAGTTGTATCCATCCAGATATGTCTTCTCATATTTGATGCATAGTGCTCTGTTCCTCCTACTTGTGCCGAAAAACTGGAAATCAAGGGAAGTTGGTGTTTGAAGTCAAGGTTTGTCAGACAAACAAACATAGGGCGAACAAGGAAGAACCATCAAACTGGTCAAAATTATCAGACCCCGATACTACTGATGGTTGCCAAATCCTGCACCAGTTGATGGTTTAGGGTTTCAACCATCCAAGGTGCTGCCAACAGCATCCATTGGATCATCCAATAGCCACTTGAAGGGGGGCTGGATGACATGAAAACCATGATTGTCGCATGTCTTTTTATATCTATAATAAACTATACATTATATCATATCATCCTCAGGTTTTGTGTTTATAAGATTTTACAAGATTCATAAGATCCATTCAAATTCCATTCGTGAATTGCCCATCTGGTCCAATCAACTGGGCACGATGGCAGGTCTTCGATCTCTTCCATTCTGGCAGGTTTTGCCTCGTCGGCCCTCACCATGAGCGTGCGCTCTTCCGCGGGGGGATGGGTATGATGGGTGAGATGCGAAGGGAACAAGGGAATGAACCATGGGAAAAAATGGATTGAGACATCGAACCAATGGAGAACAAATGGATAAGAATGCATGACATGGATTGACATGGATATATCATGATAAAACCATATAAAACCCGATAACATGATTGCTATGGCTAGAACATCAACAGACATCGACCAGTTCTCTTGAGGTACGTGGAGCCGCCTTAAAGGGGGACCTTGACAGGCAGCTGTCAACATTCAACATGAATGAAGGGTAGTAAGGGGAACCACCCCAAGACGACCCTTTTTCATGTATGACATTTGTTCAACGATGAAGCCCGCACAAAAAAAAAGGTACCCTGTTCAAGAGCAAAGCCAAACGTAAATTGATCGCTATCCAGTACCTGCGCTAGATGTAGAAGTTGTTTCAACAGGTCTAGGGCCAGGGCATCTCTCACCTCCTGCACCATGTGAGACGAAAAGTCATCTCAGAAAAATTGCCATTGAACGACAGGCGCCAAGGCTATAGCTGAGGTGGGAATGGATCAAAACCTATAGTATTGCATATGGATGCCATGTTAGGGGGGTTATTCACATCCATAAACACCACATCAGGGGATGGACCGTGGCTAAAGTGAGAAAAATATTGCCACATGGTGGAGCGAATTACATAGCTAAGTTGCTGATAACTCGAATAATTGTGGTTTATGGATGTTTATGGTGTATATATATATATACATGACACAACCATAGTATTGATCAGACGTGTATAAACAATAACTTACAATCTACAAGTTTGTTTACAAGCCCCCTTTTTGAATACTATGATATATCTAGCAGATCCAGATAGCTTTGTGGACCTTTGGAGCCCTGACAGGTACCTGGATGGGAAGACTCCTTGTTGGTGACCTCTTTTTTGGTCTTCACCAGCTGCGCATTCGGGACGAACCTCTTGGCAGCTCGCCAAAGATTCCGAAGGGTGGACGTTGACCAAGGCATGGTATTGAAGCAAGAACAATGGGGGATTTACTGTAATAGGAATTAATAGGGATTCATAGGATTTAAAAATCCTATTGTCCTGTCGACGCCCGTTTTACAAGGGAACAACAAAAGAATGCTGCTCCTTAAGGGACCTGCACCTTACACACAGTCTCTCACGTTGAGATTGAAGAACCATGAAGAACCCAGATAGGATTTTTTTCATCGGGATGTGTTTTTTCCTTGATTTGCTGAAGTTGATTCTTGATTTTCCCACGGAGATCCAGTACGACTGGGAAATTTATGGAGTTCCTTAAGCAAATCCGAGAACATGTGGCGACCTTACAGCGACGTCACTGGAATGTTGGGAAGTGTTTTTTGGTTTGAACTGATGCAGATAAGTAGTATCCCCAGCTGATCAGCAAAAAGATTACAAGGTGCTGGTAAATCATGAAGAGTAACTTTTATTCGATTTTTTTGGGTTTCAGAAAGCTGGAAAGCTGTGAGCTTTTTGGTTGGAAGACCAGAGGATTCACCATCCAATGCTGGAATTTTGACTCACCATATGGAGGTCTCCTAAGATTTAGGGCCTTTAGGGGTAGCCCCCAGTGATCATCCATTTTTTGATAGGATTTTCCATGAAATACACCATCCAGCTATTGGGCACCCCATTTTAGGAAACCTCCATTATGACTGACTCCTTTCATAACGGCCATAACGTTTGTGCTATTTGGCACAGCCAAAGCAGTACCTGAGGTGATTCTCATTGCCACACTGTGCAACCTATGGGGTCCAGGGAAGGTGCCGGGACCGGCTCATTTCGATGATCATTTCTTGAACTGGGATTCAAGATTCATCGTTATTATTGGCTCAAGATTGTATACCTCCCCCAACAATGGATGGTTAGATTGGATGCCGGAAACGAGCAATTGTGTGAGTCAATCAGCTCATTTTGAGCCACCCTTCCACGTCAAAATGGAAGATTGTGATTGATATATAGATTAATCGCATTGATTATAGGGAACGGTGGGTGACTGGACTCTCACATGTTCAGGAACACCAAGATGAGTCTATGAAAAAGTGGTACTTTTGAATCGGAGAAGCAATGACCATAGTTCACCCTTGCCAGCCGCCTCGGCAAGTATGCGACATCACACAAGACGCCTACCCTCAGTGCACAAATGTGTGAAAATGGAAATATCATGGATCTACAAACTCGCTTCAGCTAAGTTTGAACTCCGCAAGCGCGTCCACTGGTTGAGTTCATCGTACGTTGATGTTTTTTCAGGAGTTGGAACCCATGGAAGCACCATCCGGTTTTCATACTGTGCTTGCGTAGTGACTAGTGCTCTGACTCCAGTGCAATTCGTGACTATCTCATTACATCATGAATCAATATATATTCCTGCAAATAGATCGATTAGATCACCAATTTCCAACATTTCCAACTAACAACCTTCTACCACCAGTAACCTAGTTCTTTTCTGGATTGCCATGCACTTTCTTTTCCAGCCTCTGGGGGATTGGATGGGTTTACCACATATATCCATTTATATTCCATTTATATATATATATATATAATATATATATATATCATTTGTATATATGTATAATATCACATCCCACTAAAGAAAGTCAGCCTTTAGCAGGGTAGAAGCATCGATTCTTTTGCTATGGGTACGTTCTTAGCAAGTATTGGAGCCATGATTTAAGGGATTAGCCGTAGTAAACCATAGGGAGTGATCCTCCTGTCAGAGGCCCTCCGCGGAGCGGATCAAGCTCATTTACACCAAGCCATTGAGGTTCTGGAGCAAGCGCAGAAGGTGCCCTGGAAGCAGTTCTTGCCGCAGTTCTACTGAATATGTGATTCACGTGGCCATAATTGTAGAGGTTCTATGCCGTTTTTTATTGAGGTTATTACCGCTTAACAAGTGCAATTAAATGGGATACATCTATATTATATATTATATAATGCCATATATATATATATACTGTATAATTTAATATGACAATTGATTCTAATGAAGGCTATATCCCAGTTTGTTGAGTTGTTATCATGGTTGTGCCCATTACTAACCCCAACTGCACCCCTAAGTTCGAAATAAAGCTATCAGTTAACCACTGAAAGTCAGGATTTCATATATGTTGGATTGTTGGGTATGAATCCTACCCATCTACTGACAATCCTATATGGGACCTCGAAATGAACAGATTCAATACTGAATCAATGTTTCTTAAGGGGTGTTTATTGTTAAGGGGAGATTGTATACCTTGGATTGAGAATGAAAGTTAATGAAAGAATGAAATGATGAATTGACCAATGAACATGGTATAACACGGGCGTGTAGGAAACCAGAACTATTGATTTCGGCGCGGGTGAATGATGTCACTGGCCGACCGGCCCAGAATGCTTAGTATTCGGATCAATCCTTTGTGCAGTACGTGCGTGATTGTCGCAGGGGCCTGGAATTCCGAACTGGAATATATAGCCATGGTAGTTAAGCTGAAACTGCTTGGAAAGCACAACATGGAGTAGCACCATGACGTCGTGGAGGATGTCATTGGGATGGTGGTTTCATAGCGGATAGCTATCCTCTGACGGTCCTTCCGAACTGGGACTTTTATGGGTCTCAACCAATCAGGAAGCGATGCGCTTCTTCGTCATCGGACTGTTTTGCTATTTCATTTCCACCATCCTGGTTCTGAGCTTAGTGCTGAACGTTACATTCACCTGCATGAGTTTGTACTGCAATAGATTGATCAACGCATGCTAAATATATGATTTACAGTACATATATTTGTGCATGATTTACATGTGTTTGAAAACATATAATAATATAATAATATACATATTGCAGAACATATCATATCATATTATAATCATATCATATCATTCTGAGATGTGGATTAGTGGCCCTCCAAAATCACCATCCCCGTAGAGCATGTGATTTCCCCACATCACCAGAATACGCCGCAAAAACGCCAGAGTCCATAAGAAAACGGTGGTAAAAATAGTACACACATGGTACAGATATGATATATGATATATATATATATATGATATATGATATAAGATATATACCCTATAAGAAATGCAATTACGGCACTTTTATGCCAAAAGGATCCAAAAGGCAAATTTTCCATGCTACGGGAGCGACGTCGTCATCATTTTTTGGGCTACGTCAGTTTCATTGGTATGTGTGGACACGTTGGGGCTCAAATGCAAAGCTGTACACTTGAATTGGCAAGAGGTTTTGGAACCTGGGTTTGATTTTGTTAGATTGTTTTCCCAGAAGAAAAAATATATAGTGGAAAAACATCAATTGTTGACATCGTAACTCCCAAACATTACGGCGTAATTTCCCAACATTACAGCGTAATTTCCCAGCATTATGTCGTAATTTCCCAGCATTATGGCGTAATTTCCCGAAACCATGACAGAATTCTTTTTCCACTTTTCCTGTTCATGGACTTGCAGAGTCCATGGAGAAAAGGAGTTTTGTACTGTCAAACCCTCACAAACACTTTTCTTTGGCAACGTCATTTTTGGATGTCCTGCGTCAAAATTTCCGGGCTACGTCAGAAATAAACGCCGTTTGGGATTCCGGCACTTTTTTTGCACGCAACACCTAGCCTATCTAGGAATAAATTGTACATCTAAGATCATCTAAGTCAAATTCTACCTCTATATTAGTTTATTACACAAGATTGTGTAGATGTGTACATGCATAGACATACTTCCATTACATCCATCCGTTGCGTCAAGGCCGTTTTTAGAGGTCGTGTTCACTTGTTTTCCACTTCAGGTCGTGTGGCTCTTTTTCGACAAGATGGGAGCGTTGATGACCACGGTCCCCCGACGGATCTTCATTGATTGTGGGGATTATCCCTGAAGTTAGCAACTCTGACCCTCCGGTTTTCCGGTTTTCACATGAAACATCTTCATTTATAGTGGATTTCCAATTGTCATGTCTGATTCCCGGAAGGTATATAACATTACTAGCAGTGACTAGCAGGTGACTAGTAAGTGACTAGCAAGTGACTAGCAAGTGCTTTGTATCTTCAAACGATATGTGATATACCCTCTGGTAATTTAACATAGCTATTGAAAATGACCATTTATAGTGGATTTTCCCATTAAAAATGGTGATTTGCCATAGCTATGTTAAATTACCAGAGGGTATCAAACATGGCTGTCATGGCTGTCATGGACTTGTGAGGTGATCCTGATCTTTTTCTGCTTTTTGCTGGTCCGGCAGAGCTTGGTGATTCGCAGGGAACCCAGTTGTCATGGCCTCACTTTCAGTGACACATGGTCAGACACATTGTGGTTCTCAGAACCACGGGTCAGCAATTTCCATGATGGAGGCCTCCAAAACCTGCTCATATTATGATATATATATATATTATACTATATTATATATAATATATATATATATATATATTATAGTACATTTTTAATTGATGTTCATGAGTTTTCTATGTCCTACACTTACCTGGCCCAGGTCGTGCCTTCATCCCCAATGAAGGTTTCACCACGGGTTTGATCCACGGGAACCCCGTGAAGAGTCACCCGAGTCACCCGGAAGCCCCTGGGAGCTCCGGGAGCTCCGGAAACCCTCAGCGTGCGAACCGATGATGGCGTTTTTTATGGCGAAGCTATGGTGGACGGTGGACGATAGGAGCCAAACATGTTGGATTTATAATACATATGTATATATATATACATACCTATCTATGTGTATATATATATATATATGTCTTATTATTATCTGGTAATTAATACTAAAGCATCTATAAGGTGTTTATATATACTTGTTGATCCTATTTTTGGGTGGAGTGTATTGTCCATCATTTGAAGGCAAATCCCCGTGTTTAGTCACGCACAAGTTGAGGATCAAGATCCGGTTGTCACCCAGTGATGTCAATGGCTTCAGTCAAGGGCACTGAACTCCGGTGCGCACTGAAGCAATTGGACCCAGCCAATGGAAAAGACAACAGTGCAGGAAGGGGCCGCTCGGATTTATGCGGAAGTGTCGTAAGATCTGGACCCCCAAACCGGAAAGAAAGTGGGAAACTATTTGAGTCAGCATTGGTTTCGTACAGATGAGTACTGAGCTGTACTAGGTTAGTTGTTTATCATAAGTGGAGAGAACACAGTTCATTACATTTCCCTGTTCCCAGCAAGTTTTTTTTTTTTTGCGCAGAGCATTGTTATCTATCGTCACGATTGGCACCAACATGTAGTAGTTGGCAGCTCTGTTTCCCTGAAAAATCGCACATGGAATTGGGATTCTCTTCTCAAATCTCAGAATTGAAATATATCATAATATATCCTAATATGTCCCTATTCCAGATTTCCTGAATTGAAATAGGAAGGCATAGTTTGGTGATTTTATGACATTTTATGTTGGAATGTCAGACCTATCCAATGTCCTGTCTCGATCTAGACATACCTTGACTCGTCCTGATGTGTTCCTCGGTCCGGAAAGCCGCGCTATAGAATCAAAGCATATCCCATGACGGATCCATGGTGCTGGTATATTAATGCTAACATAAAGGGGGTATATTGATGAGATCCATGTTACCATATATATATATATATAGCATACATGGATCCTATGGGTATTGTATACCAGAGTCATATTTCCCGATTCAAGCCACCCACATATGCCCAAATGTAGCTGTTCATGTGCCATTTATAGATTTCATGTGAGCAAGAAAGAAGCAGAATCAACCTTGGTGCGGTAGATTGATCGGTCATCTGAAAAGAAAGGTTTGGTTTGCATGACTAGCCTTCAGTATGCCGTCAGTATAGGTGGCTCGCACCAGGCCTGACTAGCATGAATTTCATGTAGCTTTTGACAATTTGAATGGCCATGGTTTGTTGACGAGTCACCATGGAAGGTGCGAATGCCGGATGAGATTTATGTGATGTGCCAGTTTGGTGTTTCGCCCCAATTTCCATTAGTCAAACTTGGCCAGTGCATGGATTGCAAGGTTGGTTCGTTTTGACACTTTGGAAGACACTTGGGGACATACTGTAGATGTCCTTTTCCGGTTGCTTGATCAATAGAGGGGTTAACCCCTCTTAACAACCAATAGCTACATGATGACGTGACTCAATGCGGGAAGTTTGCTCAATCTCCCTGTTTCAAAAACAGGTCGAACTTGCTGTACCCATGGGCCGAAATCTGGAATTGCTGCTCGTGTTCAGGACCTTAAACCTGAAATCATGAAGGTTTCAAGTATATACCGAGGTAGTTTCAGCTTGTAAATTGTGCAACAACATGGCACCCAATTGTACCTTTGCCTGTACAAAGACGTATCATGATGTACATATTCTATATTACAGTATAGACTATAGTTACGTAGGTCAAATGTTTCAGGACCCCGCAGCTTTTGTATCCAACTTGTTGAGGCTTATAGGGTAAGGCTTCCGCTGTTTTGCCGGTTTCCCCATGTTCACGGGTCGATATGGGTCGCTCCATGATTTGTCCATGTATTTTCATGTTCGATCGTTTTTTTTTCAACTTTTTTTGTACATTTTTTTCTGGAGACCCAAATGATAATTGTTTCCAATCATAGATCAACTATAGATCAATCATAGATACTGTAATGTCATAAATCATGCTCATTATTAAATCATAGATCAATCATAGATAACGTGACTATAAATGCTCATTACAAATCATGTTCATTAGTTTCCATTTGTTTTATTTCCTGAAATGGGAGTACCCGCAAGTCAACATTGGTTTCAATACTAAGTCATGGTCATCCATGACTTGGATGATTTGGGGATAGCCCCATGACTTTAGACACACCCATGTGTTTTTGCATAGACCATATATCAATAATTTATAATCATAACCATCTATGCGTGTCATACGCAATTTATTTCTGTATAAATCATAGATAAATCAAGTGACTATAAATGCTAAGTATAAACCATCATGAGTGATCAATACAATCAAATCAATAGAAATCATATATGATCTATTATCATCTATTATCATCTATTATCATATATTATCATCTATTATCATCTATTATCTAATCATCATAAAACATCATAAAACCATAGATCAGTCATAGAGAAAGTGACTATGGGCGGCTCATTACCCGCCTCGCATCGCGCCAGGTGAACGGCGTGAACGGCGGATGTCCATGGGCTCCGCCGGAGAGGTCAGCGCCGTCACAATCTCGAAGGCTGGGGCGAAGAGTTGGGGGGCTTTGAATGGTGGTTTCATGGTGATTTCATGGGAATTTATTGGTGATTTAATGGGAAAGTGGATGTTCATGGTTCTTAGTGGTTTTAGTGGCTTTTAATGGACTTTAATGGTGATTGAATGGTGATTTAATGGTTTTGACGTGTTTTGACTGGGAACTTCATGGGGTTTCAATGGGGCTTGATAGGTTTTAGTTGCTGTTACTTGGTTTGTCTGGAAATAAGGTATCTAAAAATCCAATGGCTCATCATCATTTTCCGCTACAACGGCAATCAATTATGTTTTTTTTTTTTTTCCGGGGTATCCAGGTTTTTTCCGTGGACAAAGCCGAAGGAGGAATTGGTTTTTTTTACCACACAAAGAATGATGACTTAACCAACAAAAAGGGGGAGATATCACCGACGACATGATATTTGTGTGATGACGATGTTCAAATTATGTTCTTATTAGGGAGTTGAGGGTTATTTTCTGGAAAAAAAACGTATGATTTGAGGTTTATGAACGAGAAGTATGACTCTGGTTATTGTTTGATTAAATACATCACGAATTATGGATGTTTAACCACATTATAGCAGTTTTAAGGGGATTTATGTGACTATGATGACTATGACGGAGGATTTATGTATGATATTGAAGGTACATAACAAGTGACCCACTTTGTTTGCTAAGTTGGTTTATAACATTCTATAACTATCAACTATCTAGGGTTACTATATTTATGGGAAATATGGGGAAATATATCGAAGTAGTTACTGGGGTGTTACCAACTTATAGCGGGGGCACTATCCTTTACAACATATGAGATAGCCATCAATCAAGAGTTAGCATGTTTTTCTGGTGAGAGATTCAGACCTAGTGGGAAACGCGGACTCTTTTAAAACCGTTTGAATATATTAGGCCTTAAGAGATGAGGTTCTCATCATAGGGTGAAGCACATTGTGTGGATGGGTATTCAAGTCAAGAAAGTCACCAGCACCAAATGAAATGCAGGGTTACATCACACCACCAAAAAAATGATATATGCTTCATATAGCCAATGATTAAGGTGAAGCACTTGAAATTCGCCAATTTTCTAACCCAATCATATCACTTGCAAGGACTTCTTAGGCTGGGAGCATATCCAAGTATGTGAAAATTCTTTACTCCTGAGAACAAACAGGTGAAAACATCTACTTTTAAGGATGAAATTGTGGTCAAATCTATTAACTTCATCGTTTCGCATCCGTAATTCTGAATGTTTCAATTTATGTCATCTCTCTACATGTCTATGTGACTGTATATGCATGCACATGTTTGTATGGTTCCCAATTGGGTACCCCAAGAATTGGATGGTTTGCAACTTCACATGACCAAATTTGTGGCTTTTGAAGACTTTATTTCCGACCCACACCAAGATACAAAGCAAGCACATTGATGGTTCTCACCTGTTCACTAAGCTGATTGTTTTTTTTGTTCTAAAACTAGTACGCACATTGTTTGATCACGATGAAATATGGGTTTGTCTGAACATAGGAGACCCCAAAAAGCCAATGGTTTGTCATCATAGCACCCATGTTTTGTTTTGGGTGTATCAAAGTGTATCCCCCATTGACACAACCATCTGCTGGGATTGACACAGTCCGACATGGTTGGATCTCCATTTTGATGAAGAATTGCCTTCCAATTGTGTTGTCCTTGAAATCTCATGTTCCCAGAATTGGTTTGAGAATGTGTAAGGGAAAGCTACAAGAAAACTCTATATTTGGGAGCAGCAATCCTACTTTCCTGGATTCCTCTAGATTTTTGCCTTCGAGTACAGTAATCTATTGACATGTTTGAGTGGAGATCCAACTGCTGCCGCAGGAGGGAAGACGAGAACAGTATCGAAAGATGCTCGATGGCGAGAATTCAGGCAGCTGACTGACCGGGTAATGCTAGCTACTGCATGCTACTGCAACAGATGTGAAGATGGAACAGTCTACGACACGGTGTAGCAAATCGAGTGACGATTGCGATTGTATGTTTTTTTGGGGTGACAGAAGTGATTTTCCCAGCACCAGACCATTGACTGGCTGATGGGTTCATCCCCAAAAAAGCTGGCCCGGAAGGAGCCAGCTTCACCTTACCTCCTGCAGGATGGCTGGAGAAATGTATCTCTCTCCAGGAATGATCAAATGAAAATATCTCAAGATTGGAGAGACTGTCAAGTTAATCTCATTGATCATATTAATATCATAAGAAATATAATTAATTACATATAATATATTATATATTGGCATATATATATATATATTCTATTATATTACTATATTATATTACATTATATTACATTATATTATATTATATTTTACTATATTATATTATATTAGATTAGATTAAACATTATATTAAATTAGTATATTATATTATATTATATTATATTATGTTATATTATATTATATTATATTATGTTAAATATTATATTATATTATATTATATCAGATTAAATATTATATTATATTTTTTAATTGTATTAAAATTTAAATAAATTTAATATATTATATTATATTATATTATTATATTATATTATATTATTATATTGTATTTATTATATTATATTATATTATTATATTATATTATATTATTATATTGTATTTATTATATTATATTAAATTATTTTATGTATTATATTTTATTACATTATATGTTAATATATTACATTACATTATATTATATTGTATTATATTATATTATATTTTACTATATTTTTATATATAATATTATATTATATTTTATTTTAATATATTTTATATTTTATGTTATTGTATTATATTTTATTGTATGTTATTGTATTTTATTATATTATATAATATTACTACATATATATATATATATATACCTATATATATTTATATTAGTAGCAGTATTACATCAGCTGTGCGATTGGGTTTGATCCTCATTTTTCACGTCCGATCATCGCAGGTGTTTTCCACGTGATTCTGGCAGCCATCCTCTTCGGAACCGCCATCTGGCTGAATCTCCTGTGGTGACATCAATCAACATCAAGTTAATATCGGTATGTTTGATTTTGATGGTGTTTATAATAGTTTTAATTGTTTATAGTGGTGTTTAATGGTGTTTAATAATGCTTATAATAGTGTTTATAATAGTGTTTATAACAGTGTTTATAATAGTGTTTAATGATGTTTACCATGGAAAGTAATATACCTAAGCAATATTCACCCACTTGATCTAATATGATGACAAAGTATGCCAAAGTATGCCAAAATGCCGGTTTGATGTGGCTCAGAAAATAGCCCCAGCGAAATTAATTATCTATATACCGAATTCTTCAGTCTTCTGTGCTGATGTCCTCGTTCTGTTCGTTCCTTTGACATCATTTAATCTCCGTAAGATTTATATATGTTTGTTTTTGAAACTTGCGACAAACATACCCTCTGGTAATTTAACATAGCTATTGAACATGGCCATTTATAGTGTGTTTTCCCATTAAAAATGGTGATTTTCCATAGTTATGTTAGTTTACCAGAGGGTATCATGGTTGATCATGTCTTGTTCATCAAACAGTCTTTTGCTGCTGCTGTGCGTCCCCCATGGCGTCCCCAATTTCTGAGTCAAGCCATGTCAAGCATCGTTGCTGGTTGCTGGTTGCAACCCCCATAATGGATTACCATCCCATGTTTGATGAATTTTGATGGTTAGATCCCTCATGTTGAATACTCACCCGTATATCAAGTATTCTAATTATAGAGTTTTGGTTATATATATATATATACTTATATATAATTAGTTTTGGTTATATATATATATATACATACATACATATTTATATATATATAATGAAAATGATCCCATGATAGCCCGATATTTGATGGTAGGTTTGATAGCCGCTCTTCTTTTGCAAAGCCACATTGGGCAAAACCATACAAACACCTTTTTTGCAAAATCTGATGTCATATTTTGGTAGTGAAAATGACATCCGTATCTAACTCCATGTTCTATCCCCGTTTATCCCCATAAAATGGTGCTCAGATTTTCTCCCAGTGTGTTTCAGCTATCCGAAAAAACCATCGTCGATCCGGAAAAGAAAGAACCGAGGCTGTGACCATCGTCGAGACGATGCCAGAGATGCGAAATCACATCGTTCTTTTCCAGTTCCTTGTGAGATGCCAAGGGGATGAATCTGATGAGAGCGACAGGATTGATATCCTAAAAGCTGTACTGCTGTTTTTTGGTGACTGGAACCATGGAATTTGGATTGAATTTCCATTCAGTTGGGAATTTCATCATCCAACTGACGAACTCCATCATTTTCAGAGGGGTAGGTCAACCACCAACCAGTGTAAGTGGGCATATCCCATACACAAATAGGTCGAAATTTTATGATGATTGGCCAACCACTGGAGCGACGCTCACGCTACTGAGGACACCGTGATCGCGATATTTTTCTCCGCTGAGTGTATGGCTTAGTGAAGAAATCAATACACCAACCGAACATTCCCAATAGTTATTTTATCATCATGCACCATATTGGGAAAATGATTGGGAAATATTGGGAATATTGGGAAATCAATTCCCAACTGGAGCCATATTCCCAATATTTCCCAATCGTAGAGCCCCCACATGGTGTCAAGAACAAAGATAGAACCATTTGACTCGTGGCACCAAGTGACACACCCCGAGGCTGCTGCTGCGTTTCTACGTCAGCAGCAGCTACTTGGAGTTCTTCACCAATTGCCCGAGGGCCGAGCTGGCCATGGTGGGTGATCGGTAAGTTCCCCTTCGGTCACCACACTTCCCAACCAGTTCCCCCAGGATGTGCTACGTCCAGCGGTGATGCACCATGAGATGTGCGAAATGGGCGAAATGGAAGCGACAGTGTGCACGACCAGCTTAAGCGAAAATAGCATGATAACGTCCCCTGAGGTTGGAACTAGCTGAAACTAGGTGGCTCCGAACAGCAGCCGTTTCCGAAGGGGAACTAGTTGGAACCCGAGGTTTCAACATCATTGACATTTTGGCAGTGGTTGCAACCTCAATACCACTTCACCAGTTAAGTTTAAATACACACAGAGCTGCATGATTTGAAGATGCCCAGCTGCAGTCAGGGAAATCCGATGGATAAGGGTGGCTGATTTACATATTTACCATTATTTAGCCAATGTCTTTAAAATGGAGATTTGGCATAGCTATAGTTAAACTACCAATGACTTGGGTCAAGTCCCAGTATATCCCCATCAACTCCCCATTTCTTGATGCAGTTTTTTTAGGTGCCCAACTATGTGAGCTGGATGATGATGCTGTCGCATCTGGAAGCCCACAATATCCATCAGGCGGTTCGGACCGGACCATTTCGACAAGTCCCAAAGTCCCCCGGCAGTCCGAATCGAAAGAAGAGACAGAGACTGAGGAAAGGTAGGGAATGTCACACATTGTCACTCCAAAGATTATAGAGATGGAATCTATATACATAATATATCTATATATATATATCATATAAATATATATATATACACAGACATCGCCGACATCGCCAAAGTTCCCCTTGAAATGCAATGATACGCATCTTCAATTTCGATCCAAACAGTAGCGTGAAATCCCCAATCTGCCCACCGTACACGCTTACTCCGAGCCTTGAGTCCAAGCCACAAACGTACACGGTGCCACCATGCTTCGCTTCATTAAGTCTGAATGTTTACTGTATATAAAGTGTAAAGTGTGTATGCATATATATATATATATATATTGTATATGTTATATATATATATAATACATGTATATAGTGGTTGTGTACATATATATATATATATGTATCTAATACATGTACAGATACTCATCAAAAAATGCAGAGTGGTGATCCCTTATTATAGTGAATCCAACAGACATGGAAATGTCCGCCATACATGCCCCCATTTGCCCACATCGCAGGTCTACTCGTTGTGGAGATATCCCCATGGATCACAATTCACAACTCTGTTATCATAGTTCCATGTGTATCACCAATTTGACTAGAGTGCTGGGGTATATATAGCCCAATTTCGAAGTGGTCTGGTTGGTAGTTCCAATATGTTCCAATATATTGTTGGATGATGACATATGTCCAGTCAATGACATTCATCTTGTCCAGGAAGTGAAATAAAAAGGAAAGGTGTCAACCCCCATTTTTGGTGGTATCATCCACAGTCGTGATGGCGGAAATCACTTGAAAACTACATTTTTGTTGGTATAATCCCAACGTTATATTGAAGTTGAATAGATTTTACTTTTTTTAGGTTTGAAGTTGTTGTATACATGAAGTATACACATCAAACAGATTCATGTTTATGTTACTTAGAAGTACTTAAAATAAGTTGAAACTCATGTACACATGGCAAGTCAACTAACTGTCCTTACGTGTTTGGTGGTAAACAGACAGCCCATCCAACCTGTCTCAATATGTCCATTGTTGTCCACCGTGCTGGCCGAAGTCAGAAACCGGCTTAGCCAACAATGTGGGCCGCCTTTTTTATAAGTTGGTTTATAAACACAATTAACTATAGTTATAAGTACCATAAAAGATAGTTATCGGAATCATAAACCAACTTAGCCAACATAAATTAGCTATAAATCCCCTTAAATCCCCATTGTTGTTGGTTAAACTTACCATTTTCCAGTGGTTCTAGAGGGCCGCTGGTGTATCCATCCCGCGTCACCTGGAGGCCGCTGACTCCATGCGCGCGCTGCGCATGACGCGCATCATTCGCCTGGTACGCTTGGCGCGCATGGCGCGCGTGGCGTCTGGGGGACCCATTCGGAAGCCGGCATGGCGTAGGGAGAAAACCTTTGAGAATCCCATCCCCCTAATATAAAATATATAAAACACCCTCGAAATGGTCCCAAGTATGTGGAAAATTCACTACTTGTATCTAAGGGGGATGGGATTCGTCTAACAGTTAACAGTTTGCTATGGAAAATCACTGAATCACAATTTTTGACAGGTAAATGAGCTACTTTCACGCGGAATTTCCATATCTGTCAGATTACCAGAGGTGCGACTGGCCGTAGTACCTGAGAATGGGGAATTTCCTTCCAATGTATGGTCATTCATGATGATCAACCAGAGGCTGGAATGGGATACCAAATTTTCAGACAAAGTCAACTGAGAAATGTCAGACCAAAAAAATCCTTAGGATTCACATGGACCTTTATGGTCAAAAAAACAGTAGTTGGAAATATGACTGCCTGAAGTTGACATGAAAATAGAAGGTGAATGAGGTTCATCCCCCAAGATAGTGTAATCGGATATAGTCGATTTGATCCATCCCCAATGCTGAATATCTTTCAACAGAACATTGGCAGATGATCGTGACCGTCATTCTGCGCTGATTGTGCCCCCCATTGATCTTTGTGGGTGCAAGGTTTGTTGGCCTATATTGGCCTCATTGCCAGCCATTTGCAGTCCCCTCTAAGGGTGGCATTCTTGACATGCTCGCAACTTGAATCTGCCAAGAAGGAAAATCGCAGACAAGGTGAGGCCCACCAGTTTTATACGTTGGTATAAAGGCCCTTAGCTATACCCATATGCTCCATGGTGCTGGTATATTTACCTACAAAACTGAGTGATTTTTAGGGTAAATGTTGGGATTCATATTCCAGCACCATGGTTCGCATATCGCCATATATCCATAACATAATATATGGGATATATTCCAGCACCATGGTTCGCATATGGCCATATATCCATAATGTATGGGATATATCCTTCCCATTGACTTTAATATTTTTCAAGATGGTTAAAACCACCAACCTAATATAATCTTATATATATATCCCCCAAAACCCAAACGTTCACCAGCGATTCTCCGATGACCCCTTTGTCATGTCCCGAGGCGTCTGGTGAAAGAATGGCATGCCTTGAGCCAGATGGAATTGCTACTGAAGGTCTTTGTGGAGGCACCTGGGTGATACCCTCTGGTAATTTAACGTAGCTATGGAATATCACCATTTTCAATGGGATAATCCACTATAAATGGCCATTTTCCATTGCTATGTTAGTTCACCAGAGGGTAGTGAACTTCTAGTGAAAATCCTTTACTGAGCATCGATGATGTGGATCAAATTGTGGTAATGAACCTAAACATGTAATGTGGTTAAAACAATAATAATCCATCCCCCAGTCATCACCATAAATAGTTGGTAACCATTCCCAGTAATGGGTGCTATGTGGCATATTGTGGCATTATGGCAAACACACAGTATCAACCCGACATTTCATAAACCCTGGCTGATCAATTGTTTTGGGCTTCTCCAAAATGGTGATCATCTGCGACTAACGTGGTACCACCCAGGCTATTCGTCAAATATTCCGGGTCGGGGAACCACAGTAGGTCACAAATGAGCCAATTCAACCGACTACTTTGAAACCAACTTGCGACCCAACCCTGCATATGAAATATATTGTACATTCTACATGTAGAAAGTGTGACATCATGGGTGTATAGATAGCAAATTGATGAAATATAGGCTTGGATGCAAATCGCAGGCTATTTTGGACGATTGAAATCACCATGTAAACCAATGGTTCATGATGGTTCATAGCGCAATCCACATATAAATGTTCTCCTTTCAGCACTCCGCAGTTGGTGTCGGTATGTTGCGATCTGGTGTTTCATCCTGCTGAACCTTGAATATCTTTAACCCGGGATATAAGCTTGCAGCAGCTTGCACATCCAGCAGGAAACAGCACATGGAAGTGGCGCCACTTCTTTGATGCTGCTGGGTCTGCGGTCTCAGCATCGCGGGGATCCAGGGTAGCTTTAGGAACCAGTTTTGGGTCTTGGAGCCCCTTTTATAAACGCAGACCCTGGGACAAACATTGACAAATTTCAGTTCTCATCGTACTGGTTGACGTTGGACGACAGTACATGTGCTTTTGAACCATGTGTTTTCTTGATGTTTTGGATTATATTTTGAAAAAACTGGTTGATTTGCAACTCAATCTATGTGGAACAGCAGCCCTCTATGTGAGGCCGCCGCAAGCACCAACCCCAACCCCATCATCATCATTATGATCATGATCATGATCATGATCATCATCAGCATCATAATCATCATCAGCATCAGCATCAGCATCATCGATCACCACCACCTTTCATCCCAATGTTTGCTGAAGAAATATCCTGTGGTCCACCTGTCTCTCGTGGATCACGAAGGTCATGCCCCCCCAGTAGGTCTAAGCTGCACTGCCACTGCAAAGAGGTTTGATCTCCTTGACCTTCGCGTGTTTGATCTACGTGGCGGATGAGCCTGATTGCCAAAGCCTGGCTCCCAGCAGCTACCAGTTCTCAAGTGGTCAGTCATGATATATTGCATACACACGGTATCTATATATACATATATATATACATATCCATATGATTCCATATGTATAATATGTGAAGTATAGTATATACATATGCATTTGCATATGTATATATGCATATCAAGCTCAATATGTAGTATATTATGATTTATATATATATATAATGCCTATATACAACCTTATATTTATTTGTATAGCTATTTGTCTATATCATGGAACCCAGGAAACCAAGGGGCACTGATGACCGGAGACACAACTGAGCCACGGTCAGCCTATTTGACTGCTGCGCATTTATAACTTACAACCAATGCTGAAGAAATTGGTAGTTAATTAGTTGACAAAAGTTGATATCATCAATATCCCACCTCTGTGCTTCGCTGGACTCAGCTAGGATAATTGCCTCCCTTTCATTGTTCGATGCGGCTTTGTCGGCTGTAGGTGCGCAGGATGCGTCAAGGCAGGGGCTTCAGTTGATGTTTGACCAGGTTCGCTGATTTAAAGCCAGGTTAAAGGTTAAAGTTAAATTATTCGAGAGGTTTTATCAGCTAATGATGCATATCAGGCCAAATTGCAATTTTGATGAGAACACATTATGATAAATCATGGGATTTAGATGCTACCTTATTTTCAGACACACACATGTGCAAAATAAGATAAATAAGAAACCTGGTGAATATTCAATGGATATTCATCATATTAAATCCCATTAAATCCCATTAAAATCCCTTTAAACCACCATTAAATCTGGTGAATATTCATGAGTTTCGTAGGGTTTTTTCATCACCAGCCAATCCACCGGTGCTGGTCAGTTGGATGGTCTCCGACCTGGACTTGCCCATGGATCCATGTGAAGATACGCTGCTTGGTGATATGGGGATGACATGTTTTTTGTTTGTTTTACTGTCTCTGTCTAGATATGATGTATATATATATACATGATAACTATATTACTATATTAGTTTGATTATGTATATAAATATATATGGTTATATATATAATCATATATATATAATCATATATATACATATAATCATATATATATATAATCATATATATAATATCATATGTATATAATCATATATATATAATATCATATATATATAATCATATATATATATACATATATAATATCATATATATAATCACATATATATATATATTTATTACATCATTTGACTATGTATATATTCTATCATGTCGCGAGACGCTCGGGTGTGAGACTTGGCAGGTTTATTTTCAACTCACTGCCTTCTTCCTGGTACACATCTCAGTGTGGCAGTGTGGTTTGATCCGAACCTCTCTGTCTCCAGTGCAAGTCTCCAATCTATGGAGGCGTTCACTGGGGTACAAAGATCTTCCTTGGGTTAGAGACAGATGTACTTGTGCAAGATGTACAAAATGTACAAATCTTCCCAGTCAAGGAAAGATTATGTACTATATAGATGTTAGCTTAGTAGCCATGCAAGATAGATGTTGTATCAGATCTTCCTGGAAAATTTGACAGAACCAGATGACAGGAACATTTGGATCTTTAGCGCTGCAGACCCTGATTGTTTTCTTACAAGGGTGTTCGGTCAATGTTTGATGAGTTGAGACATCCAAGAAGATTGAGAAGCAGCCCATCAAAATGCCATTTGGCTCTATCGATGAAAGACCTGGTTTATTTGTGGTTTTCACTTCAAAACATGCAAGTTGACTTCCTTCAACCCCACTTAGTTGGTGCCCATTTGGTGCCCATTTAGCCCCAGGTGGTGGGCAGTGGAAACTCTCACCACGGTGGGATTTGGCGATGTGATGCCAACAGCTTCTCTGGCTAAGCTGCTTAGCTCTGACGAAGAACCTCAAGATTTTGGGTTGTCGAGGTACTTTAAGCCATGATTGTCATGCTATGTGATGTTCGTTGGTTTGTGTTTTTTTCATCACCCTAAGGAGGCTGTTTTTTCCTCGAGTCAGTTTGAAGATTATACGTAGGAGGATAGTATCTGGAAACAAAAACCTCGAAGCTTGAGGGACAAACAAGTCACGAACATATGCGTGTGTCCAGTAAGGCTGGAGAATTTCATGTCATCAGCCTGATGATCTATTTCTTGTGATTATCCCTAAATGTCTCTTCCCATTTTGGACTCAATTTGTTGTTTCATCATCAATCAGCTCAGGTTTCTTTCAGCGCTGTGCTGCGTTTGTGGCGTGGCGTTTCTGTCGCATTTTTCGGCGCAGTGTGACGCTCAGGGGGATGACCGAAGCACCAGTGGTGATTTGATGGGATCCCTATGGAAGCAGGGCAAGTTTCTTTGGTAATTGAGACATGTATAGGAAAATCTTGATGAATCAATGAACATTAATGACTATTAATTAGTGATTAATTATTAATGATTATTGATGGACATGAATGATTATTGATGGACATTAAAATTATTAAGTAATATTTATGATTGTTAATGAGTATTGAGGATTACTAATGGATATTAATGATTATTAATTAATATTAATGATTGTTAATGAATATTAATGATTATGAATTATTAATGAATATGAATTGGTAATGAACTTTAATGATTATTAATGATTATCAATGATTATTATATAATGACTATTGAGGATTATTAATGAATATTAATGACTATTGCTGATTAAAAACGATTACTAATGGATATTAATTATTTTGATTGTTACTGTAATGACAATTAACGATTATCAATGACTATTAATGATGATTATTGATGATTAATGATTATTAATATATATATATATACAAATACAAATGATTATTAATGAATATGAATAATTATTAATGAGTATCAATGATTATGAATACATATTGATGATTACTAATGACTATTAATGATTATTAATGATTATTAATGAATATGAATAATTATTAATGAATATGAATGATTATTAATAGACGTTAATGATTATTACTGAATATTATTTATTTAATTGTTTATTTAATGGTTATTAATGATTACTAATGAATATTAATGATTACTGATGAACATTATATAATGATTATCAATGGATGTTCATGGAGTTTTGTTTGGGAATGGACATGGAGAATATTGGTGTTTCTGAAAGTTTCTTTGAATTTGAAGTTATTCCAAGTTGGCTTCGGCCTGGTTTTTCCTGTGCTATTTGCTGAATTTTGAGCACAAATCCATCATGCACACGGTATTTGTAGCATGTTTGGGCTAGAATCCCCAATTCGCACGGTATATGCACCTTTTGAATCTCTTGATATCTCTTGATTGACTGATTGATAGATAGATAGATAGACAAATAGATAGACAAATACATAGATGGATCGATGGATAGATAGACAAATGCATCGATGGAAAGATGGATAGATGGATAGATAGATCGATAGATAGATAGACACATAGATATATGGATAGATAGGTAGATAGATAGGTAGGTAGATAGATAGATAGATAGATAGATAACATGATATTGCACCCCCAAAAAGATGCCGAAAGTTGGAACAGTTGAGGTTCTCCATGCACTTCTGTCAGCGGTGGCTCAGGCTGCAGGCCTGGAAGGGGTCCATGGTGATTAATCTGAAAACTGAGGACACCAACAAGAATAGACATTGTGATTTAACCAGCAAAACCATAGGAAACCATGGGAAAAGCATGGGAAAACCATAGGAAACAAAGGGTAATTTTAGCTAATTCGGTGCTAATAACTCCAACAACTATGGTTTGTCTCTTGTGTGTTGCTGCTTCTGTAAATCACTAACATAGACCCTGTTTCTCAGGGTCTATGTTAGTTGGGGTGATGGCAATTCTCCACTATATCCTCGCAGTATCCCATTATGAACCCATAATATCTATTAATATCTCACACTATATCCATGAATATCACACCAGGACAGCAGATTTCATAAGGGAGGTGTTTCAAAGTTGTTGCACCTCAGGCCACTCACAAGATGAAAGAACAGATGGACGAGGGCGACACAACGAGCGTCGTTGGTGTCGCCGGCCCGGGCCGGCCGAACGGCAGCAAGGAGATGGGAGAAATGGGATGAGCTGGGCTCTGGAGACTGTAGGACACTTGTGGGGGTTTCAATAGTCATGGGGATATTCCAACTAAACGTGGATGGTTTATTTCATGGACAATCTACCATCTGGTTAAGACTAACAGTTTGCCATGGAAAATCCACCCATTTTTAAGAACAGTAAACCATCTATAAATGGGCCATTTTCCATGGCTATGTTAAATAACCAGAGGCTATCTATAAACGCATGATAACTAGGGGTACCTCTATTTATGGAAACCTTGACGTGGAGGTCTCTTCAACTGGAGGATCCCAAAAATCATGGAGGTTGATCATGAGTACTATGTAGTTGTTCATATGTATATTGCCTATATATGATTATATGGAGGTTTCATAAAATGGAGGTACCCCGAAAGCAAACTTATAGTATTTTGGAATTGAAACCCATGGTTTTGGCGACCCCCCATGTTAAGAAACTGTTAAGAACCCACCACATATTACACATGAACACATAGTACAGGCATGATTGATAATCTATGTATGAATGGGTAGGTTGCATGACTTAAGCCGCACTTTATCCAGATCAAGTTTTTTGGATGTTTTAGACATGTAGATACATATAGTAGCATATATATATATATATGTGGGTTTCCTAAAATGGTGGTACCCCAAAACCATAGGTGTCAATCCTCAAATGGTCTAATGACTTGGATGGTTTGGGGATACCCCCATTTCAGGAAATACCCATATATATATATATATATATATGTATTTACCTTGTTTCATACATATAGTTTCCTTTTTCCCAAATATTTGCCACATATATATATATTTTATGTTATATATCTATCCATATCCCACTCTGTTATTTGGATGTTATTCCATTGTGCAACTGGGAGCTTCCAGGAACTCGAGCGCCTGGATGAACTCCTCTTGGCTTTCGAGGAATCTCTGACGGAGCTGGTGGATGAGGTGCGGTAAATACGGCGTCACTTTGAAGCGAAGCTACAGAAACTCAGGCATTTCATGGTCAATCAAAACATATGTAAATGGGTTTGTCTGAAAATAGGGGATACCCACAAATAGCAATTTTAATGGGGAACATGGTGATAATCCATTGGAATATGAGATACACCATTTTCAGACAAACCCAAATACATCAACAGTAAGCATGTGTATATAGTTGTATATGCATATATATATACACATAATTACGTAAATGTGTGTATGTGTGAATATAGATGTATACGCAGTGTACACTGTCTGTGTAAGGTTCTCTCTCTCTCTATATATATTATATATATAAGGTTTTAACGTATATATATAGTTACATATGCATACATATTTACATATATACAATATATATATACACATACACTACACATACATACATATATATATAATTACCCACAGGCCGGGGGTGCCGCCCAGAGGTTTATCATGTCCCCAATTCTTTAGGGTTTGTTTGGGGTTTGTTTAGGGTTTATCTAGGGTTTCATTTAAGGTTTAATTTTGGGTTTTCCAGAGTTTTTACCACAGTTTTAATAATATGTCACTTTCAAGATGTAGGGTTTAGAGTTTTGTGTTTTGGAAACAAGTCTCGTCAGCCATTCGGCCATTCCGCCGACATCCCAAACTTCATAAACACTGGCCCTGCACAGTCAAAACGCACTTCCCCGGATACTGGCCGTAAAATTAATTAACTAATTAATTAATTAATTAATTAATTATATAATATATATATATAAACAGTTGGAGACAGCGCTGTGATTTTCAGCAAAGGTGGCTTTGGCAGCCGTGGCAGGCGCACTGGGCTGCTGGGTGTAACGTGGGATCTGCGATGTTTTTTGATTTTCCATGCGATTTATCATGATTTATATTGATTTCAGGTTTGAAGACATCGTACTTTTTTCAGAATTTTCAGACTTCTGTTCAGAATAAAAAAACACCAGACAGAAAAACAAGTAACATCCCTCAACATGTCTGCAGATGGTAGTGACACTGTCAGAAGTTGCTCCAAGCCACCCTTTCACCTGCCATGAGGTCATAAGGGCTGCAACATCATGTTAGCTTTGACAAGGCGGGTCAAACGCATGGTACGATTTGGGCTCCAAAATCGTTGGCTTTTGCTGGACGCTCTTTTACCCAATTATTTGATTTTATATAATAGTTGACCCATCCCCCGCTTCTTTTGGTGATGGTTGTAGTCCCAACCCAAAGATTGATTTGATGGTTTTATTGGGGTTGTCATTATAACGTCTCTCCTTGTCGAGAGTGTAGTGTTTCTCCAGGATATTATATAATTCGAAAAGAAAATTCGCGAACGAAACTTCCAAGATTTGAGCGTTTCACCATGGGCTTCCCATCAAACTTAACTGGGGCTCAACTTGAGTCCAGTTGACAGTTTCCCGGTTTTTTTGGGGGGGTTGCCGGACCCAATTTTTGGATATGTTTGGGGTATTGGTCATTTCATGCCATTATTCATGTCCTTCTGTTTAATATCCTCATCATTGTTGTTGCTACTCGCGTGTTCAAATCGACCTGCAGTAATTTTTTAGCAAAACATCTTGAATCCACGTGTTTTTTCCCCACCTGCCAGGTGAGGGTTGTTAGATTTTATCTTTTATCAGAGCTGTTCTCCTCCTCCTCCGCCTCCGCCTCCTCCACCTCCTCCGCCTCCTCACCCGAAGGCCTCCTCGCAGTCCGCAGTCCAGATCCCAGTGGGCACAGCCGGACCTCCACCGCGAGCACCAGATCCCAGTGGGCACAGCCGGACCTCCACCGCGAGCACCAGATCCCAGTGTGCACTGCCGGACCTCAACCGCGACTTCCAGAGCGCAGTGGGCACTGCCGGACCTCAACTGCGACTTCCAGATCGCAGTGGGCACTGCCGGACCTCAACGGGAAGAATGTCAGAAAAGATGTCAGATAGAATGTCAGAAGATATGCCAGATAGAATGCCAGAAAGAATGTCAGAAAGAATGTCAGAAGATATGCCAGACAGAATGTCACAAGATATGCCAGAAAGAATGTCAGAAGATATGCCAGATAGAATGTCAGAAGGTATGCCAGATAAAATGCCTTGAGATATGCCAGATAGAATGCCAGAGGATATGCCAGATAGAATGCCAGAAGATATACCAGATAGAATGCCAGAAGATTTGCCAGATAGAATGCCAGAAGGTATGCCAAATAGAATGCCAGATAAAATGTCAGATAGAATCCCAGAAGATTTGCCAGATAATATGCCAGAAGATTTGCCAGATAATATGCCAGAAGATATGCCAGAAAGAATGCCAGATAGAATGCCAGAAGATTTGCCAGATAGAATGCCAGAAAATATACCAGAATATATGCCAGATAGATATGTCAGAAGATATGCCAGAAGATATGCCAGATAGAATGGCAGATAGAATGCCAGATAGAATGCCAGAAGATGTGCCAGATAGAATGCCAGAAGACATGCCAGATAGAATGCCAGATAGAATGCCAGAAGATATGTCAGATAGAATGCCAGAAGATATGCCAGATAGAATGCCAGAAAATTTGCCAGATAGAATGCCAGAAGATATGCCAGAACATATGCCAGAAGATATGCCAGATAGAATGCCAAATAGAATGTCAGAAGATGTGTCAGATAGAATGCCAGAAGATTTGCCAGTAAGAAAATGTATGAATTATAAATGTCATGGTGGATTTAGATATTTCTTTCCAGAGCTGTGGAGTATGTAGCTATATATGCCATGGTGGGGATCATTCGAAGTGAAGTAATTTGCAACAAACACATTGCTTTTGCTGGTAGAATCATGTCAAATCCTAAATGTTGTTGCCTACTCCAAATCATGAGTTCTTCGTAAATTAAATCTCCATGGTTTGTTTGCTAAAATCAGATAAAACACATAAACACATTGTATTTTTCCTTTTTTAATTGATTTATGCCAATGGCCAACTTTCCTTGATCGTTGTGGCAGGTCCATTGAAGCGCATGGCCATATTTTAAACTCCGGCATTTGCGCCTTCCTGCACGAGGCCTGAAGATGGTCACATATGACATGGTGACATTTTCGGTTGAAACTCCTGTGCTTGTTTGAAAAAAAACACCAATTCCCACCTGTTCATGCATGTGTTGTTTTTTTCAATCAAAGGAACTAGGAACTATGGCAAACACTAAACAATACTATTTAAAACAATTCGAACATTTTTGTCATTGGTTCTTGGGGGGTGGTTAGCTCCAAAGAGCATCACAGACCCGGCCGATGGCAGCTGCAATTTCACGGTTCAGCTACTAGTTTGTGCATTTCAGGCCTTCCACGTTGTTTGCGATGTTTTGTTTGTGGTTCCTTGTGCTTGGCATCACAGCCGTGCATGCCAGCCTTCGTGGCAAGCTGCAAGTAGCTGCTGGTTCTATGAGTGCAGAGCAGTTGCGTGAGACTGTCTTGCACGAAGTCATGGAAGCCCTTGGAAATGGGAATCGTGTGACCAATGAGCGGCTGAAATCCATCGAAGATGCAGCTCGTTCTAGCTTTCAGGCTATGCCCAAGAATGAGTACGGCAACTTGGAAGATGCGGCTGCCCGGTACATGCTTCATCGTCTCTTTGTGCAGCGTCATGGCATGTACATCAAGGGCTTGGAAGCCAGTGGAATGGACTGGCAGAACACTTCCACTGCAGAGATTCTTCAAGACCATGTTCCATCCTTTGTCCTGTCACTGTTCGAGGACCGGTTGAAAGGTCAAGGGCTGGGGTTGCATGAGCTTACCGTTCTTGCAGCTACCCTCGAGCACTTGATCCATGATGAGGCAGTTTCCAGATTGTCCGTGGTGTACCAAGCCCACAATCTATCTGAAGATGCTCGCGTGGATGAAACCAGACTACAGGAGCTCATTGACACCTACATGACTATCTTCTTGGTGGGCAAGCAGGAAGTGACTGCTTTGACTGTGGCTGAGGAGCGTGCTGCAGTCGTCGAGGCATACCCTGGATGGTACGAGACACAGAAGTTCACCATGCAGGTTCGCTCCAATTTGCTTGCTTCAAAGGCAGCTGACCCCAACTTCGCACCAGGCAACCTGAGTTTCCATGCAGCCACATCTGTGGTTGAGGAGATAGGTGAAAGGTATGGCCGCTGGCAGGATGCTGAGTGCAGGGATTTGAAAAGGTCCCTGACCAACATTGAGCATGCTAGCACTGGCAGGGTGCTCTTGAAAGACTTCTATGGGTCTGCTTTGAAAGGCAACTGGCAATTCTCAGAGACCATTGCCTACTTGGGAGAACTTGGAGCTTTGGATGAGTCCGACCCTTCCAACCTTGCTGTGCTGATTCCCAACTATGTGAACTCGCACTCAAATTGTGTTGCATCAAGCAGTGTCTACTCTGTTTGCTGCATCAATGAGTGTGAGGGGCTTTTGAGTCATCTTGAACGTGAAGTGGCAGCTCCTCAAGTTGAGCCAGACCGGCTCTTGGCCATTGTGTCGGACTTGCCTTCTGCTTCTGTGAAGGCTCCTCGCACCCTTTCTCCAGAGTTGAAGGACAGACTTCATGAAGTTGCGAAGAAGCACAACGGCAAGGTGCCATTGCATGGCCGCTTGTTTGCACAGTGGCTGCATCATGCTTACCCACGAGAGTGCCCATTCCCACACATTGCTGGGAAGACCAATCCCATGACAGCGGATGAATGGATGCAGAATCGTCACGAGAAAGTGTCAGCATCAAAGCAAGATATGCTCAAGGTGGTTCAATCTGATGCACCTGTTGCCGAAATCAAGCGAGAGCTTCCCTGGACAGTGGAGGAGGAGTTGGTGATTGGTTCCACCAAACCAGCTTCCATGGTGGTTTCCCTCCTCCGCCAAGTTTGTTTCTTTCTTGCAGCTGCCTCTGTTTGCATAGCGTTTGGCAAAGACGCCATGGCAAAGGCGCTCACGGCCAGAGATGGTTTGCTGCTTCCCATGGCACAGAAGCAACACGCGTGCTGAGGGACCCGGCTGCAGACTTGCCGAGCAATGGAAGCGCGGGAAAAGAATGGAAAAGGATCAAACAGCCACGGCGGTTTTGAAGGCTGTTCATCGTAAAAAAAATATATATTCACAACATGATGCATAGAATTTGTTAAAACTGCAAGGCAACGGAATCGCTGGCAATATCTGGCAATAGTGTCAGGATAAATCATGTTATCTTCTCCACACATCGCAGCTGATTTTTCAAGCTTTGTGGCACCATGTTTTTAATACTTGACTAGCCGCCGGCAGCTGCAATTTCACGGCTCAACTACTAGTTTGTGCATTTCAGGCCTTCCACGTTGTTTGCGATGTTTTGTTTGTGGTTCCTTGTGCTTGGCATCACAGCCGTGCATGCCAGCCTTCGTGGCAAGCTGCAAGTAGCTGCTGGTTCTATGAGAGCAGAGCAGTTGCGTGAGACTGTCTTGCACGAAGTCATGGAAGCCCTTGGAAATGGGAATCGTGTGACCAATGAGCGGCTGAAATCCATCGAAGATGCAGCTCGTTCTAGCTTTCAGGCTATGCCCAAGAATGAGTACGGCAACTTGGAAGATGCGGCTGCCCGGTACATGCTTCATCGTCTCTTTGTGCAGCGTCATGGCATGTACATCAAGGGCTTGGAAGCCAGTGGAATGGACTGGCAGAACACTTCCACTGCAGAGATTCTTCAAGACCATGTTCCATCCTTTGTCCTGTCACTGTTCGAGGACCGGTTGAAAGGTCAAGGGCTGGGGTTGCATGAGCTTACCGTTCTTGCAGCTACCCTCGAGCACTTGATCCATGATGAGGCAGTTTCCAGATTGTCCGTGGTGTACCAAGCCCACAGTCTATCTGAAGATGCTCGCGTGGATGAAACCAGACTACAGGAGCTCATTGACACCTACATGACTATCTTCTTGGTGGGCAAGCAGGAAGTGACTGCTTTGACTGTGGCTGAGGAGCGTTCTGCAGTCGTCGAGGCATACCCTGGATGGTACGAGACACAGAAGTTCACCATGCAGGTTCGCTCCAATTTGCTTGCTTCAAAGGCAGCTGACCCCAACTTCGCACCAGGCAACCTGAGTTTCCATGCAGCCACATCTGTGGTTGAGGAGATAGGTGAAAGGTATGGCCGCTGGCAGGATGCTGAGTGCAGGGATTTGAAAAGGTCCCTGACCAACATTGAGCACGCTAGCACTGGCAGGGTGCTCTTGAAAGACTTCTATGGGTCTGCTTTGAAAGGCAACTGGCAATTCTCAGAGAGCATTGCCTACTTGAGAGAACTTGGAGCTTTGGATGAGTCCGACCCTTCCAACCTTGCTGTGCTGATTCCCAACTATGTGAACTCGCACTCAAATTGTGTTGCATCAAGTAGTGTATACTCTGTTTGCTGCATCAATGAGTGTGAGGGGCTTTTGAGTCATCTTGAACGTGAAGTGGCAGCTCCTCAAGTTGAGCCAGACCGGCTCTTGGACATTGTGTCGGACTTGCCTTCTGCTTCTGTGAAGGCTCCTCGCGCCCTTTCTCCAGAGTTGAAGGACAGACTTCATGAAGTTGCGAAGAAGCACAACGGCAAGGTGCCATTGCATGGCCGCTTGTTTGCACAGTGGCTGCATCATGCTTACCCACGAGAGTGCCCATTCCCACACATTGCTGGGAAGACCAATCCCATGACAGCGGATGAATGGATGCAGAATCGTCACGAGAAAGTGTCAGCATCAAAGCAAGATATGCTCAAGGTGGTTCAATCTGATGCACCTGTTGCCGAAATCAAGCGAGAGCTTCCCTGGACAGTGGAGGAGGAGTTGGTGATTGGTTCCACCAAACCAGCTTCCATGGTGGTTTCCCTCCTCCGCCAAGTTTGTTTCTTTCTTGCAGCTGCCTCTGTTTGCATAGCGTTTGGCAAAGACGCCATGGCAAAGGCGCTCACGGCCAGAGATGGTTTGCTGCTTCCCATGGCACAGAAGCAACACGCGTGCTGAGGGACCCGGCTGCAGACTTGCCGAGCAATGGAAGCGCGGGAAAAGAATGGAAAAGGATCAAACAGCCACGGCGGTTTTGAAGGCTGTTCATCGTAAAATATATATATATATATTCACAACATGATGCATAGAATTTGTTAAAACTGCAAGGCAACGGAATCGCTGGCAATATCTGGCAATAGTGTCAGGATAAATCATGTTATCTTCTCCACACATCGCAGCTGATTTTTCAAGCTTTGTGGCACCATGTTTTTAATACTTGACTAGCCGCCGGCAGCTGCAATTTCACGGCTCAACTACTAGTTTGTGCATTTCAGGCCTTCCACGTTGTTTGCGATGTTTTGTTTGTGGTTCCTTGTGCTTGGCATCACAGCCGTGCATGCCAGCCTTCGTGGCAAGCTGCAAGTAGCTGCTGGTTCTATGAGTGCAGAGCAGTTGCGTGAGACTGTCTTGCACGAAGTCATGGAAGCCCTTGGAAATGGGAATCGTGTGACCAATGAGCGGCTGAAATCCATCGAAGATGCAGCTCGTTCTAGCTTTCAGGCTATGCCCAAGAATGAGTACGGCAACTTGGAAGATGCGGCTGCCCGGTACATGCTTCATCGTCTCTTTGTGCAGCGTCATGGCATGTACATCAAGGGCTTGGAAGCCAGTGGAATGGACTGGCAGAACACTTCCACTGCAGAGATTCTTCAAGACCATGTTCCATCCTTTGTCCTGTCACTGTTCGAGGACCGGTTGAAAGGTCAAGGGCTGGGGTTGCATGAGCTTACCGTTCTTGCAGCTACCCTCGAGCACTTGATCCATGATGAGGCAGTTTCCAGATTGTCCGTGGTGTACCAAGCCCACAGTCTATCTGAAGATGCTCGTGTGGATGAAACCAGACTTCAGGAGCTCATTGACACCTACATGACTATCTTCTTGGTGGGCAGGCAGGAAGTGACTGCTTTGACTGTGGCTGAGGAGCGTGCTGCAGTCGTCGCGGCATACCCTGGATGGTACGAGACACAGAAATTCACCATGCAGGTTCGCTCCAATTTGCTTGCTTCAAAGGCAGCTGACCCCAACTTCGCACCAGGCAACCTGAGTTTCCATGCAGCCACATCTGTGGTTGAGGAGATAGGTGAAAGGTATGGCCGCTGGCAGGATGCTGAGTGCAGGGATTTGAAAAGGTCCCTGACCAACATTGAGCACGCTAGCACTGGCAGGGTGCTCTTGAAAGACTTCTATGGGTCTGCTTCGAAAGGCAACTGGCAATTCTCAGAGAGCATTGCCTACTTGAGAGAACTTGGAGCTTTGGATGAGTCCGACCCTTCCAACCTTGCTGTGCTGATTCCCAACTATGTGAACTCGCACTCAAATTGTGTTGCATCAAGCAGTGTATACTCTGTTTGCTGCATCAATGAGTGTGAGGGGCTTTTGAGTCATCTTGAACGTGAAGTGGCAGCTCCTCAAGTTGAGCCAGACCGGCTCTTGGCCATTGTGTCGGACTTGCCTTCTGCTTCTGTGAAGGCTCCTCGCACCCTTTCTCCAGAGTTGAAGGACAGACTTCATGAAGTTGCGAAGAAGCACAACGGCAAGGTGCCGTTGCATGGCCGCTTGTTTGCACAGTGGCTGCATCATGCTTACCCACGAGAGTGCCCATTCCCACACATTGCTGGGAAGACCAATCCTATGACAGCGGATGAATGGATGCAAAACCGTCACGAGAGCGTGTCAGCATCAAAGCAAGATATGCTGAAGGCCAGCAAGTGCCCAAGAACCGTGGTGGTCGATGGTGAAGTGTCAGGAAAGATTGTAGGTTGTTTTAAAGCATTGCATCCAATCATATCATATCCATCATCATCCACGTGTCTATTGGAATGCAGCCCAGATGTTGAATGGCTCCTTCAACATCCTTCAACTCCAACTACATGTGTTCCTCTATGTTTTTTTGTTCAGGGATGCTGAAACCTCGAACATTGGGACGCTATGACACTACACCATATCATTTGTGTTTGTACTTGTAGGAACAATGTATGTATATATATATAGTATATATACTACATAGCGTTCTTTTTTGAAGGACATTATATGAAATTATTCATCAAACGAATAATAGCAGCAGCATCCATGACACCTGACAAATGGCGATTGATGGATGCACATTGCTTCAGGTGGTTCAAAGCACGACATCCACTCCTGCTCAGCAAGAGCTGCCGTGGAACAACCATGAAGAACTCGTGTCTCCCGAGAAGTCAGGTGGGCTCAAGCACTTGTATGGGGAAAATGCTTGTGTCTATGGTTGAAGTTGCTGTTTGTGGTGGTTCATTACCAGCAAAATATAGATATGCGGTAGATATAGCCAGAATGGGATAAATGTTACAAGAAATCAACATCACGAAGACATCCCAAAGATAGCACCGGTATTCACCAACAAAATGAACCAAAAGCGATGGGGGAACCACCCATCCAAGATTTACTCCACCGGAACTACCATGAAAGCCGAACATGGCCATGTCCAAGAGGAACAACATCTTCCTTAATTACCTGCTTTTCAGCACAAGAATGGCCCAGTTATAAGTCGGTTTAGAACTGCATCTAGCTATATCCATACATACCATGAATCCATTCATTCGCCTAGTAATGTTAGCCAACTGACTATCGTTTAGGGGTCCCTTTCTGCACATATACATTCATATACCGTACACGATTTTGTGGCTTACATCCCCATCACCTCAACTTTCCTCGTTATATACCTGGTTCATATCCCCAAATTGTGGGTCACATGAGGTCCCCCGTGATATCCCCATGTTGCTTAAACCACTGCAGTGTACATGTTGATTCTCTGCCAGGTGACGACTCATGGAGCCTTCGGCGCCTCTTCTTCGTGATTTTCGCCCTGTGCGGCCTTGTGGCCTTCGCTCGCGAGTCTCATCGAAAGGTCTATCTGTTGAAGCGAGGTGGCGCACTCTTGCCCTACTACAAGGAACATGCCTACTGACCATCCTGTTGGAGTCGTTGAAGAGCAAGAAACGTAGGAAAGACCAGCGTTTCGCGGCCAAGAAAAACTGCTGTGCTGCAAGAAACAGGCGGAAGAGTTGTATCAGGCCCACTGTGGCTTAGCGATCAAGAGCACTTTCAATCCCTGTGTAGAAAAGCTGAACAAGAATGATGCACGTGTTTCTTGAAAGGATGGACCCTTACAATAACTTATATAGATATACACCCATACTATATATCTAGTCTAAATCCATGAAATTCGCCCGCTTCAGTAGGGACGTCATGGCTTTTGGAGGCTCTCACCGCGGCCATGTCCACGCCGAAGTTGGATGGAGATGACGGAGAGGCCAGAGATGAGGCCACGAAGCGGCACGTGGCACATCCTGCATTTACTATCGGGATAATGTGAGTAATAGGGATAATATGGGATAATATGGATTTATCCTCCAAATAGTCACTTTAAGAGTGATAATATGGGATAATTATGGATAATTGCTATTAAAGTTGTGTTTCTCCATAGCTATTTCCATATGATGATGGTAAATAGTGATTAATACTAGGGATTAATAGTGATTTGTGGTGATTAATAGTGATATAATGGGTAAACCACTGCCATACCACCCATTTGGAAATGGTTTATACCTCCTATAAAAATGGTGATTTGGGGGATGGTTTATTAGCAGCTGCTACAGCCATTGGAAGACACTAACCTAACCTTCTCTTGCCCGTCTTGTCAACGCTCATCAGAGGATTGTCCTTTCTTTGGCCTTTGGATGACATAAGTTATTGTTTTAACATGTTTTAACCACATTACTAAGTACTCAATCATCAACGTATCCAATGGTTATATAATATTATTGTCAATATGTTAATAGTGATTATTGATTTATGACTACTGAGTCAAAACCTGGTACCCGGATGTCCCGGATGGTACACTAAGGTATAGCTGGCTCATGGATGTTTATTCCTCCAATATTGGAATTCATAGGTTTTGACGCATCCCCATCTCATGATATTTCATAGCCAATTTCACGGGGAGCAACCATGAAGTTGGGGTGTATCCTGCTTTTGGACAATACCCGCGTGGGACAGCTTCAGACACCTCAAGCCACTGATCTTATTTTTTTGTCTCTACTTAAGGACCGGTCAAGTGTTTGGGGTACACAATGTTAACATACTCACATACCAAGAGTTGAAAAAAATGATCTAGAGTGGCAACATGCATGTCGATATTCGTGGTGAGTTCATTGAGCCCAGGATCTACGTCCAGCTGGTTTGGTTGAAATATGAAAGATCATGTTAATCAGATACCCTTCCAGATGAACGTGACATCAAGATACATCTTAAGTTCTTAGCGCAAGACATTCCAAAATCCAAGTCCCTGCCTCTCTTTCCTGTGGTTATTCCACTCGTGATTATACTTACTATATTTCTTATCCTGATCATTGACTCGTAATGATATGGCCATTGAGGACATTGTGACCCATGTCCCCAAAGTGAAACCATCTTTTACCTGTGCGTGATATAGATACCGAGTGGCATTTTCACATAGAAAGCTATCTGCTTCTACCCATGCCCGGACGGTCCTTGGACAGTCCTTGTCAGGCCGAGGAAAGCATCAAGAGTGATAGTGAGCTACCCCACGTGCGGGAGGCGCCCGAGAGATGTTGTATTTTCAATGGATTTCTTCGGCATAGCAGCTGGATCCAGCTGGGACAGTCTCCTTTCCCATTCGTTTTTTATATGGTGCAAGATGCTCATGTTTCCATATGTATGAGGACATATGAGGACATTTGTCTCATATTACGGTAAAAAATGTGGTAATATATTACCGTGTACACATGTTCAACTTTCCATGAGCTGCCCCAGGGATGGTCACGTTCGGAACTGCGGTCTAGCATCGTGCTGATTATTGACAATAACGCGGCAAGCGTTCGCTCCACAACGTGACAGTCCTGTCTTTGACAGTCCGGTCTTTCAATATATTTATCAACCTGACATAATTGTTGGAGCTCATGCTCCAAATGGTGTTTCGTTGATCTCCCAAAAACAAATAAAGATATGTTTGGGATCGATTGGGTGTGGGAGAAATTGTCTGGCCTTCCGGAAAGTTTCGCATCACATTTGTTGCTGAATCTTTGGCCCCATAGGGGCGCCATCCCCATGTCATCACACAGACAGGTCTTAGGCAGGTGACCGAAGCCCGTGTCATGCAGGATGTCGCAACAGTGGAGCATCCATCTTTGCTACAGGCAGACTTTGGGTTGACATGCCGGGCTGGTCACAAAAAAACATGTCGTGGATATTCACTTTATGCAGGTTCATTCATCAGCTACTTTTGTGTGAAAACCAGGGTATCATTTTAAAAAGATGATGTGTGTAGCTGTGGTTGTGGTTGTTGTGGTTGTTGTGGTTGTTGTGGTTGTGGTGGTTGTGGTGGTTGTGGTGGTTGTGGTTGTGGTTTTTGGTTGTGGTTTTTGGTTGTGGTTTTTGGTTGTGGTTGTTGTGGTTGTTGTGGTTGTTGTGGTTGTTGTTGTTGTTGTTGTTGCTGTTTTAATGTTTGTTGCATATGTTTTTTCCGCGTGCTTGTAACCGACATATCCATGGATCCAACCCAAACAAGCAGATACACAAGGCCATCATGTACTGCTGATACTGCAGTTTTGAATACGTTGTGACATGTCATACTTGTACTACGGCTTGTGACTCTTGTCAGAAAGGTAGTTTGAATAGAGTTCGAAGGATGAGGGTAGGGGATTGCATGACAAAGTATGACAATGGCGCACCGTACTGACTTGCAACGTTATAACACCCAACCGAACCCAGATGAAATGATGCACACATTTTATCAAATCTTGGTGTATGGCTGTTGATCTCCTTTGGTAATTGGGGCATGGTTTATGTTACTTACCACGTTATTTGTACAGTTCAACAATTTGTCATGTCCCTCCGAGAGTCTCAAATTTGCGGGTTGAAGGGCCAACAGGAACAAATGTCCTACTTAATTTGCTTTCATTCATTTGCAGAGACAGTGGCTGTAGTTGGTTTGGTACTTTTTTAGCTTGGTGGTTGATCCGATGTTCAGGCAGAGGATTTGGAAGCGCCCGGCGATATGAGTCAAGGACTGCCCCCTGCCACCGAGCTTAGAAGAGTGGGATGTGGCCTGAAAATGAGGTACCTCCAATTATCAAATTTGGTGGTACCCAGGGTGCCCGGCAAACTCAAAATGGTGAGTTTTGGGTAAATTAAT